CCCGCCCCAGCTGATTCTCGTCAAACTCGACCTACAAATTTGCCGTCTTCTGAGGGTAGTATCAGAAAGGCAGGAAGGACGGAGGCTGGTTGAAAGGAGATGGCAAAAAACGGGACGCGGGTGACAAGTTTGACACCTGGATATCCTGCTTTGCTGGCTGGGTTATGCCGCCAATGTGCACATTTTGCAATCCATTTTTTTCAGGTTGGTGGGTTTTTTTTTGTTCGTTCTCAATCTCTGTCAGATGGCCAGGCAGAAACATCTGGAACTGACACGGCTCAAAAGTCAACAGCCACTTCCATGCATCTAAAGCGTCTTTTTTTTCACGTCTTTGTTCTGTGTGAAAGGTTGAAGGGTCAACGTTGACCATGAATTTGCCGGCTTCTCTGGGCATTGTTCCATCTGCGATTACATCTCTGATTTGGCAATTTTACGAAAACTCTGCAAAAAAGTGGATAGGGACTAGGACCAAAAGAAGCCGATGTTTTTTTTTTGTTCCCCCTCTACTTTTTGGGCTTTTTGTTTGTCTTTAGTTTGGAAGTTAGCCTGATGGTCTGGCACGTGACCAGGTGGAAACATCTGGAGCTGCGGAGTCAAAATCCCCTTTCACACATCATATTGGGTTTTTTTTTTCCGGTGTCCTATCGTTTTTTTGCGTCTCAGATGTACCAATTTTGCGGACATTTTCGTATGAAAGGATCTAGTGACTCAGGACCAAAAGAAAGTAATGGTCAGAAACTATCATTATTATTGTTTTTAATTTTTTTTTGGTTGGGTTTTTCTTAGCCTGGTTCATTTTTCCTTCACATGACCTACTGAGAATCGGAGTCCTGGCCACCGGTTGCATGTTTACAAGCAAAAAATACAATTAAAAAAAAAAAAAAGAGTAGCAGTGGTTTCTGAGGACTTCGGAGTCAAAGGAGTAGCCTGCCAATCAACGAGCCGAATCCTAAACGCTTAGTCTCATCCCCGAGGGGGGGGGGGAGCAGGCCCCCCAACTCTTCCACTCTGAAAAGAGGATTTGAAAGTGATCCCCCTTGAACATGAGTCTTAAGCAAACATCCCCCGCCGGCTAAGGCAGTTTTAAGGGAGCCGCTCGCTACTGTACCGCCGTCGGCGTCGAAGTGACGTTCCAACAAAAGCAAAAACGTTTAAATAAGACGGAACCGGGAGGGAAGTGGTCCCTGCGTGTTTTCTACACGCAATAACATGTTCAATTGAGGGCATATCAACATCCCGGATAAAGGAAGAGCGGACAGGCGAGCACTTCGAGTGGAAGAATGATTCCTCGGGGAGGGTCTTGATGTTACCACGGATTAGGGGACCAAGGTATCTGTGCCCACCCGGCAACAAGCGAGGCAGCTTTACAGCATGTAATCCCCCATTCGGCACACACACACACAAATCCACAACATGGAGATGAATTTAGGCCAAACACAAGGAAGGAGAAAATCTTGCTTTTATCGCAGCATACCTCATCAATTGGATCATCTTCCCTGCTTGGTCCACAAGTTTTTTTTTTCCAGATGACAACTTTGGAGACTTCCCAGAAGCCCATCGTATGCGTCCCGCTTCTTTCCACCAGGGGTTCTCAAACTTCTTGGGTCCAAGGGGGGAAAAAAAACAAGAAATAAATTATAATCGTAACACTAATTACACATAAATACCATACATGTCATAATTGTCAATTCAGGGTTTTTGTATTGGAAAAAAATAGTTGTAATATTCTGAAAATAAAGTCTGCCTAGATAAAAATGAGTCCTCTCATGAGAATAACATTTTATTTTTCCCAACGTAGTTGTAATATTATATTGAAGTCAAAAGTTAACAAAGAATGAAAATCAGTTGAACGAATGAATTTTAAACATACGTTTATCCTATTATGCTTTCTTTGTGGAAAAGACAACTATTCTCTAAGAACCCCCCCCCACCCTCCAGGTTTTGTGAACCCCTGCTGTAAACAGCACAAACTCAAGTGTCCCCTATTTTTCTTTGTTCATTAGTCATCTAGTGAAGACTGTCACGCTTACGTTCGGGTTGCTGCTTGTGTCAGAATTGATGTACAGTATTACGACCACGTGATGGCAAACCATCATGCATTTTGTCTGTATTTGAGGACCCTGAGGTGCAACTAAAATAGGAAATCGGCTGCAAAAGGGAGAACTAATCAGCAGAAAAGAGGCTTGCAAAGGGAAAGTAAACATGTGAACGAGTCCTCAGTGTGAAGGATTTGCTTTCTGTCGTTTCGTGTTCCAGAACCAAAGCTCTCTGCAAACTTTATTTTTGTACACTATTCATTTTATAAGACTTTTTACAGAATAAAAATCTGTTTCTACGCGTGTTTCTCTGCCTCTTAGTACGTGACACATGGTGCTGATTTGCCTTGCTGTGTGTTTATAGCAGTTCAATGTAAAATTGAGGATGGGAGTTGATAGGAGAGCAGCACCCCCCCCCCCCCCCCCCCCCCCCCCCCGTGAAATGTCTCAAGATTAATTACGAGTTTTGAACGCCAGCCCACCCATCGGTCCACCCGCCCGCCAGGGTCGTACAGTAAACACAAACGTGAGTCAAGGGGCTCAAGACTTGTTTCTATGGCGTAAAAACAATCATGTACAGCACAATCTGATGGGAAGATATTGCAGCTTTAGTTAAAATGCCAAAGTAACATATAGCTTCACAAACTAATGGGTTCAAATAGACGTCGCGAGGTGTTGGTGATCTTTCAAAATATTTCCAATTTGGCTGTTAGGCACCCGAACAGCATACACGATGAAAAAAACACTGCTGAATAACTGTTTTACAAAGGTCCAACAGTATTTCAAGACTAATTTGATTTCAGTATCACTATTTTCAGTGACAGGGTTGAGTTTTTGCTCAAGAATACATGCTAGCTGTGTTAGCTGCTATGCTAACTGGTCAAGAACAAACTTGGCTACTGAATGAAAAAAAACCAACTTGGATTTGAAAAGGTCTTTTTCTGGTAACATTTGTAACACGGTTGCTTTGAATTATGTGACACACTCCTAAATGACTAAAAACACAAGAATCAAAAAGATGAAAAAAAACTGAGGAAAGGACTTACCTTTGGTCTATCCAAAGGGATTCGCTTGATGACAACATTTTTGTTGAGTCGTGCAGCTCAACGTTTTTCTCTTCCTCCAGATGGCTAAAAAGTGATAGTGTGAGTTAACATGGATGTTAAGAATCACAACTTCAGAGGGTAATGTATTAAAAATGTTCTAAAATAGGTTTTAACTACATGGGAGGCATGAAAATTTTCTTCACAAAAATTGGACTATTTTAGCAGGGGGACAAGAGCTATTTTAAATGATTTTGGAATCACTTTTACAAGCACTGAATTTAGATGACAGAAAATGAGTTTTAATTCTGTCATGAGCGAAAAAAAAAATGCCTTACCTCCAATAGACGGCAAGTCATCTCCAGGTGAGAAAAGTCTCAATATGAGGAAATGAAGAAGCTTCGGCATCTTTGACGTCCATCGGCAAAGACTAGCATCCGCATTTTCAGACACACTTAGAATAGATGAATTGACTTCATTCTAATTGAGGGAAACTTTGGTGATAGGGAAATTCAGAAAGTAGCACACGAAGCTACTTACCGGACATACTGGTACTACATGCTACAGTATGACCTTGAACTGTTCTCAGATGACCAAGCTGCAGTAAAACCACCAAATAAAAATTAACCAATCACACTTCACGTGGTGAATACAATGCATAACATAGGCAAAATTGTGGCACACAATAGACGAGAAAAAAAAAAGAGCTTGTAAATGATTTACTGATGCCAGCTTGAGACTAGAAGAGCATGTGCTGTAATCACAAGACTCCGCTCCAAGTCTGCATTGACTCATGTAGTTCAGTCAAATGATTTCAAATGATTTGATGACATTTCTGTCCTGTCTGTTTATTAAAAATATCAAGGATGAAGGATAACATAGTGAATGGTGGGTGTTTGGAGATGGGAACCACAAACGTGTAGTTTACTGACACCGATTGCACTGACAAAGTCAGACAAGTACATCCCCCAAACAGCGTTCTGGGCCTGAGCGTCTGTTTTATGCAAGCAACCACGAGTCCGCTTAGCCTCTTAATATAAGAAGTTCGGATTTCCAAGGCTTCAGATTTTACGCTTCTTCCATTCTGGTTCCTTGTCGGCCTCCTCGTCCTCCTCGGAGTCCTCAGCAAACACAGGATTGGGCTGCGTCCTGCGGGACAAACCCAATCGCCAGACAATCAATCAGATTTAGAGATGAAGGATGAGGTTCAGAGCAACTGTTAAAATAATCAAGTAACTACTGATGAATGATTCTTCACGCAAAGACAAAAAGTTGCAAAAGTTGTCTACTTTTCCAATCTACGGAATCTCCATTCACTTCTCGTCTATTCTGATGCCAGACAACGCTAAAATAAGCACATTTAAGAATAAATAAATATGTTCAATCTGATTAACAACTAAAATGGAAAAGAAATGGCAAACCTCACGTCATTCAACTTCTACAAAATTGTATTTCCTATTGGATCAATCTCGTGCCGCATGTTTTGATACAACTCGGAAATGTTTCGACTTGTTAACTCCAAGCTCACCTGCTTCTGCCCGAGAGTGCAAACATGCGGACGTGCGGCCTGGCAGCTTCGTTCCACCCCTGGCGTGTGATAGCCATCTAACGGCGTCCTTTCTGTTCTAACCATCTAAAGCTGTCCATCATCTTTGAATGAGGACCTGTACAACTCGAGCGTCTCTTTAAACAATTCCACGTCAAGCAGGTGCGAAGGAAACCCCGAGCCCTCACGTCGACACTGCGCTCCTTGGGGATGATCTTACTTCTTGTAGGCCGGGGCCACCCAGTACGGGTTCTCTGACGCTTCCTTGGCATGACGCAAGATGGCCTCGCGAGCGTTGCTGTCATCGGTCTTATCCAAGGCGATATTCTTCACGATGAAGGACGACAGGGTGCCGCCGTGAGCTGCCACTCTGCCGCCTCGGCCTGGAACAAAAGACGGGTGGGTGAATCGAGTCATGTGACGATTTCATGTCAATTACGCGTTAAAATGAAAAGACAAAAAAAAAAAGTCACGCTTATTGGTTACATAAGTAACATATACGTAGTCCAAACTTACAGGGGACTTTGCCGATGTAGTTGTTTACTTTTAAAGTACTGTACCGAGCTAGCTGTAGCCATACTTGAATAACATTTCATACAGTCCATATGAATTTTCAGTCGCGTATTTTTCCGACTTTTTACATTCTAGCTGGTCCTGAAACTTACATTCATGTATGACTAGTGTCCATTAAAACGAGAGCACCAACTGGCACCCAAAGGTTCCCCAACTTCTGTTTTTAAAACAATGAAACAATATTTGGTTGAAGCCTCGCCACAGTTACGAGCATTTGGCGAGCATATGTCGGTCCCGCGTGCTTGAAATAACTCTTTGCAACGCTGCAGTTCGCAGTGGAAACGTCAGGAGACCAGTGCGAAACAAAACACTGCGAGTGACGAGCCAGCTGGAAGTGGACAAAGTTGCCTTGGCGCTCACGGAGCTGCTCGGGCGCCTGCAGCACACGCACATGCTCAAGGGTACACAAGCAGAGCATTTTTCACACAGTACTTCGACATAAGTACGGAGTTTGATGACTTTTGTCACCTCTGTCCACGACACAATGAAACCAAGTGGCCTCACCTGGTCCGGACACGGGGGGCTCGGGTTTGTGGGACTTCTTGGGATCCAGTCGGTCCTTCTCCAGCTGCTTGCGAGTGCTCCTCTGCCGGGCTTCTCTGAACATGGGCAAGGCGTGAGCTGTCGGAGACGACAAGGAGGAAAATCAGTCTCATTCACAAACTTTCATGTTTCAACATGGCAGTTTGTTTCACACATGGTGACTAATCATCGTAAACCGACAAAGTTCCTTCATTCACTATTTTCTATGAATTCTGCTTGGTTGCAATGTTTGGGTTCTGAGGGCTAACGTAATGCCATGTTTAGGTTTCTCCTTTCACACTTGAGTGAGCGTTATCAACAATAAAAGCCTCTCAGGCACTTTTACGCCACGAGTGTGCAAGTGTGCGTGAGTAACTGAACGATTTGCGCGTGTGTGTGTGTGGCCGGAGGTTCAGATGAAGTGATTTTCCATCGTGGTTAATTCTTCGCTACGCCACATTAAGCAAAAAGGCTCGCTTTGACAGATTCCCCCGCTTCCCTGCTCAATGGGTCCTCTAATTTTCCAACGGCAGGGCACCAAATGCGTCACTCGGAGCACCAGTCCACTTCACGCCGTGGTCACACAACCCAAAACAAAAGAGAGAATTCTGTCCAAATTGTACTGACGGCAGGGTGTGAGGGCGATATGGCAGGTAGGTGAGCGGGTGAAGATGGGGTGGCTGGGTTCGCCCATCACGCCAGAGACAGCAGGAGAAGCGCTTGTCCTTGGCGTGATCGAGCGTTAAGGGGACACGTGGCGGCAGCGTGGTCAGCTACTCATGCGCGACAGGACGCTCCATCAGCTAATGGAAGGCCGTGGACGCCGCGTGGTTTCCTCCTGCTCGCGGGCTCAGTCTTTTAAGGACAACTTCGGCGGTAGTATCGGAGCCAGAAAAGGTATTGCGTAACGCAATGCCCTGATCATCTTTGTGAAATTTAACACATGACACCCACTTCTCATATGCAACTGATTGGTGGAAAAAAAACAAAAAAAAAAAAAACATTGCTCATGTATCAGATTATATTAATGGTGGAGAAAGTTTTGAAATGATTTATCTTGGTATCATTTTTTTCATATTAAAAAACCTGGCATTTCAACAGGGGGGTGTTGAGTTTTTCTTCTCTAATTATCTTCACTTACGGCATTGATGCAACTTTTTTGTCGGATCTCAGTGCAAACGCGGCTTTACGTGAACTTACGTGTGATAACGTACTCCTGGGCTAACGCCTCGGCATGCTTCTGTTTGGTCTTGCTCTTCACCACGCACAGCTTAGCTCCCCTGGATGGACGGTCGACACGTCAATCATACAGAATATGGCGGACAATAAGGACTCTTGGAACATATTTCAGTGCAAGTGTGTGTGTGTGTGTGTGTGTGTGTGTGTGTGTGTGTGTGTGTGTGTGAAAATACCTGTGGCTCTTAATGGGATCATAGTAGACCTTGACCAGCCCATTTCCGGTCCCCACCATGATCTGGTTGAGCTTGGGATGCCACAGGCAACGCACAACACTCTGCCATGACAAAGACACACACACACGTAGAAAGAATGGATGTTTTATTGTGCGCTATACGGGGTGAAGCTTTCTCCAGGTCTGCGTGTTCGGCCGTCATACTGTTCATGCATTGTGTGTGAGAGCAGATTGGGCTTGGTGGTGGTACGAGAGTGCCGCGCTGCTCTACTTGACTATATTTGGTGGTTGGGGATGAGGGAGTCAGATCCCTCGGCATGTGTGTGTGTGTGTGTGTCTGTGTGCGCGACAGATGGCCCAGTGCCAATAGGCAAATGTGACCACATTTATCCAGGGAGTTGTGCGTGTGTGTGTGTGTGTGTGTGTGTGTGTGTAAAATGTGTCTGAGGCTACACGAACAGTCGCAAACGTACATGTCCCGCAACATTCTACATTTGAGGTATATAAAGTAAATATGATGAGATTAGCCAACATTATAGGTGTACATATTTTGTAAATACTGGATGCGACATTTAAGGTCAAACATGACCATGTCAAGTGAATTCAGAGATTTGTTTCGAAATACACGATACATGTTTGAAAACAATTGCTGAAGACGTGCAGACTGAGGACTAAGTAGTACTCAATTGTGGAGCGATAGGGGGTTTTTTTTTTTTTTTGCAAACCATATCAGTTTTCCCGATTGTTTGCGGCGGCTGTGGCTAAACTGCGCCAAATGACGCACTTCCATTCGGCCATGAGTTCACCTCTTATTATTTTACAATTATTTGGCTGATTAATCGGTTTTCGGAATTTGCCAAATAGAATCAGTATCAGCCTAATAAAAAAAAAAAGCACATTGGTCTGGCCATCCGAGACATGCCACATTAGATGTATATAAACATTGAACATGATTTTAAAATGACATGTTAGAAGTGCGTCCATCATTCAACAAGCAAAGTCATTGCCGACGAGCTCCAATGGAGTAATGTGGTGGTTCCCCTCTCTAGAAATCAATGAGGAAAAGACTACGGTCAACTAAATGCCCTGCAACATGAAATATTAGTGTTTTATTTAATTCCTTGTTGGCGCGCGCAGAGTAGTTTACAAGCCATTCGAGCATCTGCACATCTGGGGTGTTTCAGGTCAAACCCACAAGCAAAAGGGTCACTTGAATGGAAATAAGTGTTTTTAAAAAAAAGGCGATATAGGCATTAAACGGGAATGTCCTGGCGTCCTGTGCTGGTCCATCAACATCTGTGACGACCCGCTGATTTGTAGGTGCGCTGCACAGGACAAAGTGCTCGACGCGTACAAACAGAGGCCGGTGTGGGGGGTGGGTCGGTGGTCTAGGACGGTCGTGTGCGGGATGGGGGGTGGGTAGTCCAGATTCGGCGAGGGTGGAAAGCTGCTTAGCGTCCAGCTGTTCAGCGTCCCACCAGGACACCAGCGGAAGGAGTGTCGATCTTACACGCACACTCATTCATGCTAACTTGGTCCAACACAGATTTAAACATTTTTAAAGCCTGCAATTTAAATATTATAATTTATTAAAATATGAAAATGATTAAATACAAGCAGTTGTCATCTTCAGCTAGAATGGTAATAAGACTTGTGTAAGATTGTGTTTGTTTTTTTGAATATCCTGCAAATTCGGCATTTGAACAAGGGTGTGTAGACTTTTTATATTCACTGTCGGGCCGATGCAGCGGCAAAAACACAGTGCAGTCTGCAGGCAGGTGCAGCCTCCTTTTTTCACAGTGTGCTGGAACAGACGATCGTCTCTTTTGTGTACAGTAGAAAGAGTGACGCGTTTGTTTATAAAACGGGCCCATGACTGTAATCTCACTTGAGTGCATTTACCGCTTCACTTTTTGTTTCTGGCATGTCAAATGGACTTTTTAGACCGGTCGCGTGATAATGTATTTTGTAATTTACTGCCAACTCGTCACTTTACCAATGAAGCCAAATATTATTAATATCTGCCGGATTTTTTTTTTCCAAACCATTTTGTGGTTTTGTTTTGTTTGCGCGGCGGGAATACACTTGGTGAACCTGATGAATGAAGTATTTACTATGTTTACACCAGCCGTCACTATCTCCCACGGCCTAAGAATTTAAGTGCTGTGCAGTTCAGGCGGGCAGAGGAAGCGAAATGCAAAGGGTCACCAATCACTTGTAACTCAGCCGCGGTCCACACAACATCAGAGATCCTCCTGAGGAAGGCAGTTTACAGAGGTACATAACATACATCACGCCTCTTGACTCAGATTATTTTAACAGAAGCGGCAGAATCTAGAAATGAGTCTTAGGGCTACACTGAAAAGGGGGGAGAAAAAAAAAAGATGCTGTGACAAGAAAAGCTGCGTCGTTTTATCGTTAGGTGTGTACCACACTTAGGATAATTTTGAAATATTTTATTTTTACGGCAGATCTGGGAGTGAGGTCTTCTAAAGGGTCTAATAGGGTACTTCAGACCCAATTTTTAAGTTCCTCAGATGAGTTCATTCTCAGTTTTGACGCCGAGCGAGAGTGCAGGAGTCACACTTTCTCCTTCATTCGCGTAATATTAAATGACAGGAAGTCAGTTGACTTGAAGTCAGACACAAGCGCTGTCCCCCTTGAGGCTGCCGAGCCTTCCAAACTGTCAGAAGCACATTTGGATCCACTCAGCGGCCACTAAACAAGTGACTTTGCCTGGAATATTTTTTTTAGAGTTCTGACACTTAATAAAACCGCAAACAAAAAAATAATTTGCTTGAAAATATTCAACTAGGAAACGTGTTTTTCTTTTACATGGCGTTCGCAATTCACTCCATGAACTGCAGAATCTTTTCTCACACTTGCAAAAAACATTTGATACACCTTAATTGGAGTTTTAAAGTGAAGGGCTTGATTGAACCTTTTAAACATATATTTTCGATTTAATTCATGAGCAACAAGCTAAAAGGAATAAGCTGCTCAGCCTCTTACCGCATTCGAGACTTCTATCTCGTAGACCCGCTGAAAGGTGGCTCGGTCAAAGAAGACCAGCTTCCCGTTGCCTTCGTCTCGCTTCACTGAGGTCCCAGTTACGACGAGCTGGTCATCTGGGCTAAAACAGCAGTCGGTCCTGCCCAGGATGAAAAGTAAACACGTGAAATCGTCGTGTTGTAGCGCCATTCAAGTCTTTACTTGTGGTCCTGTGACTGCGATGACTCACATGGCGAAGTAGTTAGTCAGTCCGTTGGCCATGTTTAATGGCTTCTTGAAGTTGCGGATATCCCAAATCTTCAGTGTGTCATCGCCTGAAAGACAACATAACAGGTTAGTAACATAAGAAAAATAAACTGTCTCATTTCGGGAAAAATCACACAACTCGTCACCTCCACGTGAGGCAAGAACGGTGCCGTCGTAGGAAAAGGAAAGGCGGGAGATGTCGGATCCCGGAGTGTGGGCTTGCCGGCAGTGGAACTTGGTGTGCACCTACAATAATGAGAAAAAGCCATAGAATTAACATAGGATATCTTATCTTATCTTATCTTATACAGCAGAATATGATCGCCCTTCATATTTACTGTTTTCTACCCAAATAAAGCTTTTTGGTTGGCTACACCAGTAATAATAATTTCTTGTCTCATATTTTTGATATCAAACACAAATGTGATCCATGATGGAAAAAACATGGATCACACTTTTTTTTTTTTAATATATATTGCCTATCTTCAGTGTTGTGAGTGAACTTGAACCTATCCCGGCTGGATTTTGGAGAAAGAACCGCAGTACAACCTGGATTGGTCTCTCGTTAATCACAGGGCACATGTAGACAAGCGACTATTTTTTTGACGTGAGAACCGGAGTACTGTGCACCATTCGCAGGGCACACACTGGACTAACGATCAGTCTCACACACACACAAATCAGCCAGGCTAACCAGAGAAAACCCACGTAAATGCCACACAGGAAGCTGAGAATTGAACCCCCAATCTCAGGATTGCACTATGCACTCCTCTGCAGGATACGTTGCCTGTCAGTGGCTCACTTTTATGTGAAAAGCTGCTCTTGGCCTTCTTCCATCACGTCTCTGAATAAATGTTCACCATAGCCCCCCCCAAAAATTGCTTCTACTTACAAATCCTAAGGGTAAGGACAGAACCTGGGAGGGGAAAAAAGACTTTCAAATATACTGTCCTGTCTATCTGAAATGATTTTTGCAAGGCCTTCAAAATAGCTGAACGGATCAATTTACTCAAGTGCAGTCGTTTTTAAAGGGACGGGGGGGTTCTCCTGATAAATGTAACAGCTCAAGCTGCCTTGTCTGTTAGACAGCTTAGCTGTGAAAGGCTGCCCTCTTGGCCAGGTCTCTCTTAAAAAAGACAGTTTTTTAAATTTTCATCCACAAGAAAAGGACGAAAGAACTGTTGTCCTCGAGACATTAAAGTACCGGTACCTCTTCAATCAGAATTGCAAAATCATCTCAGAGGATGGTGGCCTAAGACACAGAATTTAAATACAAAAGGATGAACTGTACCACCACTCAGTTCAGCCATCGCCCGAGGGAAGATTGTTTCGCATCATTCAGCAAAGTTTGGGTGTCCTGTTGAAGTAGTGTACTGTAAAACTGGATCCAAGCAGTTAAAAAAAAAAAAAAAAGCATATTTCAACTGAGGCCCATTTGTGGGAAGAACTCGAAAACTCGGGAGCCAGTTTGATACTTCCGGTGTCTGACCGAACTGACTGAACTTGTTAAATGCTATTGGAAAAGGGCAAGTTAATGTTTCATTGACACTCCAGCTTGAGACTAGAAGTGGCACAAACGCATAGACATAACGTTCAAATAAAAAGTAACTGGAAGAGGAAGCTGCTGCCTGTGACTTGGTTATGTCCGAGGCAGATAACAGCAATCGATCATTAAAAGATGCCTGTGAAGCAATAGCCTGGACAAGTGGACTTGCTAACACCCAAACAAACATAACCTCGGTTTATACCGCGACAATTTCATTAATTCTAAACGCAGCGCAAATAAACGAGTGAAAAGAGAATGGGGCAACACAGGATTTTTTTGGGGCGGATAAGGAATTTTAAGTGCGGCGAGTGCCCATGACAGATAAGATAGAGAAGCATAGAGAAATGCTAGTGCGGAGAGTGAGAGGTGAAAGAGTGATGTGCCCTCACGATCCTGGAGGGAATTGAGGTCATATCTGACTTGCAAAGTAAATGGAGTGAGGTTATTAACGGAGACAAAAGAGATAACCGTGTCACCTTGAACTGGAGATAACCAGGATTCCACTTTTCAGAGGCTTGGCCTTGGACACTTTGTCTTGTCTCTCCAGGGACGTCATTTTAAATTAATAATAATTGACCACAGACTCATTTGACTTTCATTCCCCCCCCATTGCTCATTATCTACATTATAGCCCAGAATAAAAGCCAAGGGGGTCAGTTTAAGAAAATGAAATGACATTTTCTCAGGTCAAGGCGGGTGTCTGGGCTCCGACTGTCAACTCAACTTCATTTTAGTTCCTGCCAGGTTTTGTCAAGACTGCTCCCCGTAACTTTCTTATGATCAATGTCGCTTGCGTGGCGCTCCGAAACGAGAGCAACTGACGGTCATTTTGTGCCTTCCACTTTGGAACGCTCTCATTAATCGTCAACTTCTCACCAAGCCTTTTGCCGGGGGGTTTTGTAACATCGAAAACTCTGTTCCCTGCATCGTTTGCCAGATCTTTATTTTTCTCCGTGGTGGCACATAGCTTGAAGAATTTGTTTCCAAGAACAGGTGTGCCTTCAACAGTGCACCTTAGCCGTTAGCTCGAGAGACCTAACAACTTTGTGCCACGTTAGCGCTAGCCAAGCGGTGGAAGGCGGTATTCCAAGTAACTGTCCAAATGCTTTATTATTTATATATAGAGCTTTTTTTGGGGGGGGGGGCACATGTTCTCCACAGGCATGTTTTTTTTCCTGTTTAACCAGTAAATTAAAAGAACCTGTTTGAGTTGATAGCTTTCTTGCTAAAATGAATACCATCTGTGGTTAGCACCCGCTGCGTTTATGGCTCTTATGTGGTAGTCTCTTGCACGGTTACACTAACTTTTGTACATGTTTTGCGCCCGTAGCACAGTAGTTCCTCGACATCTGTTTAAATGTTTACGATCTAAACTCGCGTGGGAGATAAATGTTAACTCTTGTTCGTAAATTTTACAAATCTGAACAGACAGAAAGGACTGGAACTGCACTCGGCGGACACGTTTCTCGATCCAACCCATTGGATTGAAAAATATCCGTTCCGCCCAATCGTTCTGGGTGGCAGCGAAGCTCTTTGATGAATCACTGGTAAATAAGAAAGCCGTTTGACGGCATGTAATAGGAATAACGTCAAACGGCGTAATAATGGCTGTCAGAGGTGCTGCCAGTGGGTAGTTACATCGACCCCTCTCCGGCTATTTCGAGCCTATATACTTTTGTTGTGAAAATGCGCAGCGTTTATTTACTATCCCCATGTTGGCCGGCGTCCCTGGATGCCGGGGCGTTTGCTTCCTGTGATAAGCTACAGAGTCGCTCATGAAACCGGACCCCGGTGTGTACGCCGTTCGAGCACCGTGTGACAACCTCTGCAAACCGTGCCCTTTCTCCCTCGAGGGCGTCACAGTCTCGGGCGAACCAAGGGGGTGTCATTGACATGCTGTACACAGAAACTCGTGCATGGCCAGTGGTGGGAAGTGACAAAATAGAAATATATCGTCACAATCTCAGTCGGTAGCAGTAACGTGCCATTAAGCTGGTTCGTCATCTCTGCCAGGAGACTGCACAGAAGAACAAGGACACTACATTAGGTGCATTCTAGTTTTTTTTCCTTGCATTTTCTGTTTTCGAGATACGTGGAGAGCAAATGTTCTTACCGCGTGCTTTTAAAGGTGCGACAACTCATCGATCATTGAATTGATTCATCATTATTTTGATAATGAATCGTTTTGAGACCTTAGATTTAAAAATTGTTTAAATCCTCAGAATTTCAGCTTCTCAGCAGTGAATATTCTCAGATTTATGCTGGGCCTCAATGAAAACAGATTTATCTTGGTGGTTCATCAAAGCAAAGCTTTTGCAAAGATTTAGTTATACTTTGGACAACAATCAACATATTTGTCTATTTTCTGACATGTTGCCGAGCAAACCAGTAAGTGAATCACTGTCACTTGGTTTTTGAAATGTTCCGTCTTTGGGTGAATTGATGGAAATGAAAAAATGTTTTAAATCAGATTATATCGATTAAGTAAATCATATGTACAGATTAACTGAATATATAAATCTTTTGATGCAGCACAAGTGTTTTTATACAGGAGAACACCTTGAGTCTAAAAAAAAAATTAGAATTTTGGACGTTATTTGGGAGACCTGGAACGGATTCATTGCATTTCCACTCATTTTTATAGGGAAAGAGAATCTGAAAGGCGAATGTTTTGAGATCACACGTGTATTGAGCAAACAGTAGATCCTAAACCTAAAATGAAAAAGTAGAAGTACAAGCATTCGAGTACTTCTCCCACTTCGGTTGGCGGCCGACATTCATGGTGCTCCAATCACCATCAAAACACGCGGATGCGAGGGTTGATAAATCGCAGAGAGAACAGTGCGTCGGGTTTCGTCAGTGATACCGGTCGACCGCAGGGGCCAACTGTTCTCGCCAAGTTATCCGACCGCCCCTCCACCGCCTCCCGCTGCCACGTGCTCCCCCTTCACCGCCGCCACCACATCAAAACCTTAACAGGCACACACCTAAGAAGCATTCGACGAGGGCCACTGTGCAGCCAGTAATGACATCTCACGCTGACCTTTGTTTCTTTGTGGGGGGATCAAGTGGTCAAACCGCGGCCCGGGACAGCTGCTCGGATCTTTCATGGAAGTCAACAAGTGGTGATACTGAGGCAGCGTTCATGCATGACAGTGTATTCGCTTTTGAGTTATTGCGTCGACAACACGCTCGGCAATTCCAAACCAATCTTCTTTGGCGGGGTAAAACTTGGGGCGCCTTCCAACCAGAACGATCTTGGTTCTTTCCAAGGATCGGGTACGTTCCAAGCCAAACAGCAAATGTGAATGCTCATTGGTAGACGACAGGCGTTAATGTAATGGCGATGAGCCCGACTACTGTTTTACTGTTAAAAAAAAAAAAAATTGGACTCAAGGAAGACGATCCGACTATTTTGAAGCTCACAACACAGATGTTTATCATCAAGCAGTCTTTAGTGAGTCATCGGTTACTTGATAGTTTTCGAAACATTTTCGTTGGATTTCAGAAGAGCGGCGGCGCTCCCGTTGCGTCGTCTTTAATGCACCGCCGCACATATAAACTCACAGTGCGGAGCTTTGTCTTCTTTCTCTCCAGTGGCCAACTTAAAGGAGACATTTTGAAAACAGATCCAGGTGTCGAATGAGAGGTCTTCTCAAAAAACACAATTACAAGAATTGGACCTTATTTTCATCATTCATTTTGAGTCGCAGGTCCCTCACCACTCATCATGACCCCACGACTGCTGGGCCGAACGGAGAGTTTTCCATTTTCGTTACTCTGATGAGCACGAGCAAAGATGCGTTATGGCTTGTTTGAGCACAGACTCAAAAAAAAAAAAAAAAAAAAAAAAAAAAGGGAAAAAAATGGGGACACCAAAAAACAAAGACATCCAAAGTATGAATTGTGTTTCCACTTGGAGGCAGCACTTCACTTCATCACACAAATATCCGTCGATCCTCGGGTCGACAACAACGCTAATCAGTGTAGCCAACGAAACTCAACGCAGCTCTGGTTTACCTTTACGCATTCTTGTGTAATAGTCAGTGTAGTCTGGGCGTCAAAAATTGAAAGCGGTGGCGCTTGGTCCGAGCCAAGCTGCCTGGTCGAGCATGGGCAGTTATGTAAATTAGTCATCATTTTATAATGTCGTCTAGCCAAATACACAGACTAAACAAAAAAAAAAACAAAACAATTGTACAAGCAAATAAAAAGTCAATATCCCTGTAATATAACACAATCGCGTTCACATCTAAGGCCGTCAATGATCTCATAACATTCCACCGATCTCTGGGGTAATGTTTTGGAACCGAGGCCTGCACACTCCATGCGCCATGTATGAAGAGGCCTTTTTTTTTTCTCTGATTCGGGCCGACCCGATTGAAGGCGGGCAATTACTTGCTGTGGGAGTTCACAGGGAGGACCGACTTCAACTGGCCATCGTAGGATTAATCAAGCCCATGTCACCCCCAATAGCGCGGCTCCAGATCAAGGTATTGCACATGATTGATGGTGATTGATCTGCTCCGCATAGTCTGACCATGAGTAATACAGGAGAGAGACAGACAAGGGGGGGAGGGAAGCAGCAATAAAAGAACAAGGTCGACTCCTTTTTAGGCTTGTGGCTGAATTCAAGTCAGGTTCCTGATTAGGGCAGAGGGCACCGGCGAAAATTCTTGAGCCATTCAGACAGGCGCAGGCTCCAGTGGTCAGGGAACAGACATGACTATTGTGAGCTGCTATGGGACGCACGGTAAATATTTAGCTTGGACAAGGAGCAGTCGTAAATTTTGAGAGCTTTAATCCAGTCTCTCAGGAGTGTGTTGTTACGAGCGGTCCGAGAGTGGAATGAAGAGAGAAATCTTCACCGTTGTGACTCATGAAAGCACGGTCACTCACGACTAAAACGACAACGCATTGTTGGCGTTGTTATCTGATGACAAAGTTGACTGTTCATTGAGTGAGTAATTATGGTGCAGCCTACTTCACATTCGGCTAATCTGGATTAGCTCCTCGGTCTAATAGAGCCGTTCCGACTCGCTAGCTGCAGTTTAACTGTCACTGTTCTTGGATGAAATAACATTAGCAAAAGGGGGGCATTGGAAATGGTCTCCAAATCTCAAAGAATGCCCCGCAAATGTATTCACAACCATTTGTGAAGGACATGCAGGTCATAACACTATATTGTATTTCCAAGTGGATGGACCGATAACGTTTCGTTGTATTTTGTTTGTTCTTTGGGTGAAAAATGGCTTTTGTGCTGATTAATGAGGACGAGTGAAAATGTAATACTCGTACTTGGTCAAAAAGTGGCATCGATGCTCTCCTAGTTTTCACCTCAATCGAATTTCAAGTGGATCTGCAACTGAAAAAGGTGCAGCTAATCTTTGCGATCAGTATCGGAATCGGTACAGGCCTCTCTCACTCATGGATGATTCCTGAATTTACAGCATAAAACCCTGATCAGATCAGCCCTATTAAGGATGACTTTTTAAAAATATGTATAATCGTTATTTTTCAATCAAAACATTTTAACAGTAGTGAAAAATACATTTAAAAAAATGAGATTAGTCCCAAAAAAAATAAAAATAAAAACATTTTAAAAAAAACGGGCTTGATTGGATGTGATGCATGGCTGCAGGAGGATGTGAAATAATCCGAGAACCAACAATGCCAAAATCAACTAGTGACTTCAGCATTCTCAAAGAATGGAATGTGATTGCTAATTGTGCACTAATAGTGGAAAATGTACAGACGGTGATGTTGATTGAGCATCTCATCGACTCCCATGCATCTCAACTAAAAAGCATGTCAGATCCACTTACATAACTGCTTAGATTTCGTTTCTTCCATACTTTTACGGCAGAAACTGCAGCGAGTCAGTGAGCGAGGCCCCGGCGATGCGCTGTCCAGCCCAGACATGAAATATCCAAAACAACTGCAGGAGGGAGCGTCAAGAAATTTGGTACAGACACGCACGGTGCCCCAATGATTAATCCTAATGACTCCAGGCTTGACCTCTGACTTTGCTTCTCTGAGTGCCAGCAGGTGACATAACCCGACAATGAACATCTGCTTGAATGGACTGGCCTACATCTTTTCTATGAATCCCAGATGATTGAAAAAAATTTGGATGACAGCTCAGATGTTCCTGCTCTGCCATCATTTCACCAACAGATTGAAGGTGGATGGAAGATCTTGATAAATGTTGAAAAAAAAATGATGATACATTTCATAATGATGACATTTAAAAGGCATGACAACACAAACATTCCACTTGCCAATCTTTAACATGACAATGACGTCATTGTTGGCATTTTATCCAAAGCACTGCAATGCTAAAACACGCAGCTGCACATTGGAGAGAATAAAAACATTTTGACTGACGAGAGAAACCCCCAAAGCACAAACCATTGAATAAGACTGCAGTGACCTGCACCAATTTTGAGGGCTCTTAGTTTACGACAGTACAGGCCTATAAGATTTTGAGGTTTTAAACAGCGAGCGTTGAACGACCGTATTTTCCGCACTATAAGGCGCCTCGGAGTATAAGGCGCAACTTCAATGAATGGCCGATTTTTAAACTGTTTTCATATATAGTGCGCACCACATTATAGACTAGAAGCTACAATAGTGACTGCAGTTTCATCATGCATCCACTAGATGGAGCTACGCTAAAGGGAAGATAATACAATATATATGTTTCAGACTTACACTGAGGTTTCTGTCCCATATCTGGATGGTTCCGTCCTGGCAGCCGGCCGCTAAGAGCTTTCCGTCACGGCTGTAGGTGCAGCACGTGGGAGTGACCTTCTTCCCTTGGACTGAGCGAGGCTTGAACACAGCCTTGTGCTTCTTCTCCGATGTTACGTCCCACGTTCGCACGGTGCTGCGGAAAAGGAAACGGGAATGGGAATGTCATTGATCTTCAACCGAGCGCCGTGAATCCAAGTCATAAAGACGATCGCCGTCCAAATAGATTGGGTCATTAGGGATATCCCTGCGGCGATAAATCAGAATCCTAAAGAGATACACTGAGCAAGTACATGTGGTTAAGGCGGCTCAATCACACAGGTTGGAAGGGAGCAAACAGTAGATCAGGCTGGTGGGCCTGAAACTGCTATGAAACCAGAGTCTCCCCTACCTCTGCTGAGCACAGCATTTCAACATACCCGTACCTTGAAAATTTTGAGTGGACAGCTAACTACGATGACGTTTTCAGTGGAGGGACAATGTGATGTCAAAGATTTTTATAAGTCTACATTTGGACTATTCTAAGACCGAGCAAGGGAACAAGACTCCAAATGTGTGTGCAACCCGCTGTGTGTTGTAGCTAACGCCGAGACCTTTTGGGTCATGAGGTCAGGCCGAGGTGCGTAAACACACAGTCGGGGCTGCTACTACTAACAGAATTCCTCCTCCGCTGCAGTCCAGAACGTCGCAGACGTGCACTTTCGAGCCCGTGTTTGGACAAAGTCTAACAATGTGACACAAATGCCAGCTCAAGACTTACGGCTTGAGTAAGAGCTGGCAAGGGTCAAAGAAAACTCTGTTTGATCCGCCGTAGCGCTTGAATCAACACAAAGCAAAAGGAGTTAACGGGGCAAACGAGAACAGCACTCAGGCCCCCAAGGTGGAATAATCCTACACATGTCCGTCTGATGTATTGACAAATAAATCTGACAATGCGAGACAGTGATGTTCCACTCCAGTCCTGTGGGTGGCAGTAAGTAACATTACAAAGTAGGCGCCGACTGCCTCAAAGCAAGGACTTTTTTGGGGGGGGTCAAAAACAACACCACTTTGGCAATCTGCCCATGACACCCGAAGCACAGTGGCCCCTTCCCTCAAAGTGTTTCACACAAATGGAGACATCTTTTTGAGTCACTCTGAAGAATGCGGCTTGTTATGAAAAAGTAACACCAAGTCTGAAGAAGCCAGCAAAAATATTTTGGTCCCCGTTCCTTATCCCTGCACCCTTATTTTTCCATTCAGTCAACAGTCCCCCTTTTTCCCCCCTCCCCGTTGCCGCAACACAAAGGCTTCAGTGAATGAAATAAAATGAGGACCATACATCTCCAGTCATGCGTGGGCACTTTATGAGGTAGACCAGCGGTTCGCACATCTGAGAAGAGACAATTCCTCCGACTGGCCTCCCAGGTTTTATCCGTCCATCAGGTTACAGGCCTAGCGGGAGTGATGGTGATCCATTTCCCCGATGTAGAGATAAAGGCAAGAGAGATGCACAGAGCTTGCACAGGGTTACTTTTTGGTCAGGTTCTGCTGACTGGGTTGTGCTGTGTAATGGCAGGCTGACTGACTGACTGACTGGGGCTGTGTTTTGGGAAAGAAGGATTAGGAGGGATATTTGAGGATGCTCCATCCTCCATCAGAGCTGAGCAGAATGAAGTGGAGGGGGATTTAGGAGGAGGCATCATGGCAATCGCGCAGGAAAGCTGGAGAGAAGGCACTGCTGTCCGAACTGCACGTTACGAAAACAGAGTTGGGGTCAGAGAAGGTCAGTTAGGGGTGAAGGGTTGTGAGGGTTGATTGGTGTTTGGCTAAAGGGTTTAAGGGTTCAGGTAAGGGGAAGGTTCTGATTCGTGTCAGGGTTTAGGTGCAAAATGGAAGCATTTCAAAACAAAACAAAATGAAATAAGATCAAGAAAATCTACTGCGGCGCGAGCACCGTGATATGAATTCCAGCAGAGTCCCCGTTCCCACTGGCTAGCATTGGCCAATCAATCCAAAACAAGGTTGTCAAAAATTCACTTAGATTGAACAAATTGCCAAATGTGGTACAAATGATCCGTTCTGATATTTCCGAAAACAGTGGGCGAGGGCTATTTCTGGACTACAATTTATGTCGGGTGACTGGCGGTTCAAGCAAAACATATACAATGACATCTCCAGACTATCATGGCAATTCTAGAGCAAAAGTATACCAGCACATTTTGTGCCGAAAGCTTGACATTAAGACCCAAGGCACACACCTTAAAAAAAAAAAAAAAAAATGCCAGAGATAGGCGAACACAATAATATTGGACTATTCAGAAGAACCCTGATGGTGTACCGTCTCAGACAGAACAAAAGTTTTGTCCACGAGTATATAAAAGGGACGACCACTATTTGAAGAACTACATCATCATTATTATTATTATTATTCTATTTTTTACATTGGGAGGAAATTTACAATCGTTTACAAACAGTTTTGTAAGCAGCCTGTCCCTTGAAAGGCCTCACGTTCAAATCCAGCTGCGACCTTGTAAGCAGGCCAGATTGACGGGAATCCTTGGAAACATTCCTCAAATTGCGTGTGTTTGTAGGGTGTGAATTGTGTGTGTGTGACATGTGGGTTCCATTAGCCAGTGGCCATTCATCCTATCTTCACTTGACTCCCTTTGGGCTGCGTGTATATGTTCACCTGGGGCACCAGGAAATAACATACAAGGAATACAGGGCTCTCCTGTTACACGATGATACTATAAATACATGAAGTTTGTTAGCATTCAAAGACATAACAGCCCTGATTCAAGGTTTGTTAAACCACCTGACAAGATCCAGAAATGACTTCGGAAGCAGGCATAGGTTTGTCTTCGTGTAGCGATTCTCAAAATACGACCCCCCCCCCGGCCCCCTTTTTTTAGGTGCCATTTCTATATTTAAACAAGAATTGCAAGACAATCACCACCACCTGCTGGCACTACTTCCCCTCCAGAAGAAAACATTCTGCGCGAGTGAATATATCCGAGAAGCCGGGTCGCAGCTGCCGTGAATGCGAGTTTTAATGAAAAAGGTTTGGGCGGTCCAGTGATCATGCTTAATACGCTTTTCACATAAACAACAAAAGAGAAAATGGGATTCAGGACACAATGGTGTCAGAATGAAAATTTAAAGCATATAGAAGGTAGTTGCAAACACCCGCTGGTATAGTTGGAGCACCGGGCTTCATCGGGAAAAAAAAAAAGGCCTATTGATGCTGACCATTGATAATTTCATTATGCATTCAATTGCATTTTGGTTCTTTGTCATAAAAGGATTGATTTGCAATAAAAGCGCCCTTTGGTAGGTGTGTTTCAGGTCTACACAACACCAGCTTCATTCATACTTGGACAGCATGGGATACAGGCCCTTGCAAAAGATTTTCAGGCACAATGAAGATACCTGAGAGACAATTAACTATTCAGCATAACAGTAAACACTTATTCCAAGAGGGCTTAAACACAGTCTCAACCCACCATGTACAGAAACACATTTTGAGGACACGTTTGTCACCTGCTCATCAACTGGCAACCGAAAACATGCTAACGGGTGCGGCAGGTGATGAGACGCTAAAGACTGTTTCCGTCACCGAGCGAGACTCAAATCACCGTGCTGCACCTGCGGCTGCTCCCCCGCATGCAAACACTCTTACGCTCAAGCGGCGCTAACGTGCCAGGGGAGGATTTTCAGCGAGAGCTAAATAAACACAGCCACATCTGGGAGGGTTGTCCTGCCTATAAACAGCGGGCAGAGGTCTTTCCTGTTTCTAATTAATTACCACCGCGGCGGGTTTCTACACCACATGCTTGTCACATTCAATCAGACTCGACTCACATTTTTAAAGGGGACATATTATGCAAGATTGATTCAAATTTTTTTGCTGTTGTTAACACTTGTGTGCAGACATAGAGAAACACTGCATGTTCACAGTTTGGCATTCGTTACATTGCCCGGAAAAATTTCGGCAAACTATCCTCAGTGAACAGTATTGCTCATGACTTTGAAGTTTAGAGCTATTTAGTGTCAAGGATACGATTTAAAGTGAGTTGAGGAGCTTCACTGATATGAAAGTGGTCTTTCATCATCATCCTCTGGCTTTTATGGGCAAGTAATAACATTTTTGTATTTAAGGTTGGGGGGGGGGGGTGTCTACTCACAGCAGGGCTCGGTCAACCATCAAGTGTGTTATTTATCCTGATATTAAAAAGCCAAGGATCTGGTTAAAAATATGTTTTTTTTTTGACAAGGGTGTGTTCACTTTCTATACCCACTACATGTTTCAGGGGACATTTGTAAATCCTTCCTTTCAAGAAGCATATTGTGGATTAGAGGACTCCCTGCTGGTGGCAAAGGAAAGCATTCCCCTCGCATGCACTGTGTAGCTGCCAAGTAAACAGGCTTTGGAAAAAAAAAAAATTCAAGTACAATTAAAATGACAAAGGGACTTACTTACCCGTCATTGGAGCACGTCATGAACTCCTCTTTTATTTTGGGATGCCAGCTGCCGTCATTGAGCATCGCCGTGTGGCCCTGTCGGGAGCAGGAAAGAAATAACAAAACAGCTGAAGTCTTGAATCAAGTGAAATGAGTTGATTATGGTTGTGCCGAAACAAAGATTATTTTTCATAGTTATTTCCCAAATGACAAATACAGTGCGATATGACAACCGAGCTGAGGTACAACCTGTGATGTGTAAGTGCATAATAAATTGGTCGCATCTAGTCCTGAGTTATGTTTAAACCAAGTTTAATGTACCTGCAGGCTATTTTAAAACACACGTCCGGTAGGAATTCTGCAAGATTAACGACCAAATTGGCCATAAAAAAAGGAAAAACTAAAGTTTAAGTAGAGTGTGGCGTGACCTCTTTTCCCTGTTCCTCAGTGGGAATTCCTCATAACAAATGAATCAAAGCGGTAACATAAGGGTAGCCCCCTTTGGCCCCCAACCCACCCACTGACAGAGAGAAGCATTTCGTGTGCGAGGAAGAGGCGTGTGATGTCTTTTCATTGACTGGGACGAGGCACGGCTGATGGGTTGGGATGTTGTCATTGAACCAAAGTGGGGCTTCACTCGACCAATATTAGCTCTTTTCAAAATCAGCACAAATCAATTTTTTTTAAATGCCAAATTCGAAACATTAACACACTACAACATAAGACAGCGATAATGGCATTCAAACATCCCCCCAGATAGCTTTCGGGTCCGGTTCATCATACAAGACCTTCTACACGGGAGGTATCAATCGTCCGTGGAAAAAACATTTGCCTGGGTAACCAACAATCCGCTCACTTAAACACAGTAAAACCCAAACATGACCAAGCCATTAGCATTGGTCTTTGTAGACGCAGGTGCAACGGATACAGTGGTGACTCCCGGTGCCAAGGGAAAAGCATTATGTTTTGGACACAACTAAGTGCTCGCTCCTGGGTCCACCTTGCTACGATTAGGCATTGGCAGGGTTCCCCACCCTCTCCACCCCCACCAAACAACACAGCAGAACACATTCAGCTTGGTCTCAGCACCAGCGGTGGCAGTGGCACAGGCACAATGCTCATGAATAGACTTATGCTGCTGCAGAAAAGAAAAAAAATCACACAATGGACAATTTCAAGCAAGGGTATTTAAACTGATCAATATGGATTTTTTTTTTTTTTTTTTAGGCCGATGCCAATTCCAATATTTGGCAGAGTAAAATTTCAGTAACCGATGAATCGGCAAATTAATTAGAAAAATACATAATTAATAAAACACATTATTTTTGGTCCCTTCACAATTAATTTTTTTTTCTTAATAATTATACACAGATGCATGTTGAATAAAATACATTAATTTTGGTCCCTTCACAATTAAGTTTTTTTTTCTTAATAATTATACACAGATGCGTGTTATTCACATGATTTTGCAGGAATCCAAACTAAAAGTCGCCCGCGCATAAGCAGAACAGGATATGTACTAAAAACAGCATTAGAAAGGGCCAGCACCAAATCTCTTAATTTGGGTTTTTGAAATTGACGCAAGAGCGTACCTTGGTGTTGACCATATCGACAATGTACTGGTCTCCCTTGATGCACTCCATCACGTTAAAGCCGTCGCGGTCCAACACTTTGGCTTGTGCGTTTCCCGACACCACCAGGATGCGATCACCGGTGATGCTGTACTGCAATGCTCGGATCTGATGACTTCAAGGGACAAAAAAAAAACTCTTTAGTTCAATTGAACCAGCAACAAAGGGTATATGTTTCTGCTTAGCCGCAAACAGTTCCGTTCCACCAGTGCTGCTCAGGGTATGGTCTGAGTGCCATTTGTGATATTTTATAGTAGTACAAGTAAGTACAATTCACTTTTAGGTTCAATACATTTGAATATTTCACTGTCATTTGTTTTTTTTTCTATTATAAAGGGGAGAAAAAATATCACTTAAAGTGAGATTTTTGTGGCAGAAAAAAAAAAAAAAATTAAATCGGAGATTTCATTTCAAGGCCATACCGTCCAGCCTTAAGTTGCACGCATGTGCGCGGTGGCAGTGCATGTGAGCCAAGTGCGCACCACTTAACCCGGGTGAGATTAGCAATTTAGGTCACTATCAAATAGCATTAACACAGCGGGACGTAGACGGAGCATCAACATATCGGCTGCGCGTTGTCCAAAAAGTTCAAAGTGAAAATGAAATGTCGGCTCAAACGCTAAATCTTTGAGTCTGAAACATCTGTGGAGTCGGAAGCACGGAAGCTCCCGGAGAGAGAAGTAATCAACTTAAATGTTGCGTACGCGTACGAAATGGGCAGTCCTGCTCCGGCTCTGGAAACAATAAATGCCATTTGGACCTTTTCATTTCTCTTTTCTTTTTTTGCGCCGGTGAATCATGGCGTAAACATCATGCAAACAAACAGCCGCTTCCATCTGCTTGTAGGATAAATAAATGTGTGTGCGTGGACGGTGTGGATGTGGCACGACACGCAGATGTGTCAGGGTTTCTCGGCAGTGGTGGGAAGCAACAGAGCACACAAGTCAAGTCGTACCTTGACTTACGGCTTTAATTCGTTCCGTGACCGCGCTTAATTTATCCGCGGATCAAAACCGTTTTCCACCAGTGAAATTAATCGAAATTTCATTGATCTGTTCCGGTGCTTTGCCAAGAAAAATAACTCTGCATTGTATAAAAACACACAAAAAAGCGACGTAAAAGAATGCAAAGAAATGAACTGGTTTTAAAAAGTGTCACACTACGGTTAATCGATTAATCTGACTCTTACAATACCACATGAGACAAACAAAGCAAAAAAAACATTTGTAACACCCCCTCAAAAATATATATCGGCAGATTTTTATACTATTGCTAAGCATTGAAATGCACTCAATGTTATGCTTATAATTCCTCACGTTTTTTTAGGTACTGTACCAAAACATCTGTTAGACTTTTTCTCTGCTAAATATCAGAATTCGCCCCCATAAATATTGATATTGGTCGAGCCCTAGCTATAGCTGTCGCTTTTACCAATTCTGCTTCTCAGTAAAGTGGACTCACCAATCGCATGGCTGCAGGGAGCGGAAGGCCTGCAAAGCTCGGTCCATGCCGGCAAAATCCCAGAAGCGCACGTCAAAGTCGTAGCCGCCCGTCACTAGACGGGCGCCCGACGGGTCCAGGGCCATCGCGGACACCTGAGAAAACGGACGGAGGGTCAAACAAAGTTGACAAAAAGAGACTCTGTATACTGAGGCTGGAAGACAGCTGCGGGTACCGCCTTGGTGCCGTGCAGCAGAGTTATCTCATGAGTATCAGGAATCTTCTTGACGGGATTCTGAGGCGGGAAAATAGGAACACATATTGGTGGAATAGTTAAAGGATAAACTTTTTTTTTTTGGAGCCTGCTTTTGAGATTCTTTGTGAAAGATGCAGCGATGTAATGGTTAACATTGCCAAGAGGTTAATCTGAGTTCTGGGTAAACATTTTCTGGAATTATTGTTAAGATTAATAAATTATCTATACATCTTTGTTCTGTTCATTTTTTCACTTTTTTTTATTTTAGATGTTTGAAATAAATAAAAGTCATACCTCTATTATCTTTTTATGGTTGTATGTTTATTTGGTTACAGTTTTGCTTCAAATAAATACCGGTAATGTGTGCATGATTTTTTTCAAATGTCTTTATTGTCTTTTACATTTTCTTTTTACCATTACCAGCATTTAATGTAATTTTTGTTGTAATCGTATCCTATTTTTACCTACAAGCAGGTATGGTAGGTGTTGTTTTCTGGTGCTGCTATCTTGTGGCAGCTTAAAGCAACAACAACACACTCTGGAAGCATAATCACGTTTTTTCGCCCCACTTTGTTCGTTTCGTTTCATTTGTTTATTGAACATTACTGGGTGCACGTCACATACGTCATCATCGTCCTCTTCATTTTGCTCCTCATCTTCGTCGTCACTGTCGCTTTGAGCGTCACCGCCTTCGTAACCAGGAGGAACAGGGGGTCCCACCAAATCCTCCTCCTCGTCTTCCTCCTCCTCCTCCTTTGAGTCTTTTCCAGGTGGTGGAGGGCCAACAGGTTCAGAGTCTGAACTGCTGCTGTCCGTGTCCTCTTTTCTGTAAACAACACAATCAGGATGGAAGACTGACTTTGAAAACTTAATCAAGTACTGAAACCCCTTATTTTAAAGCCTAATTTAAAACCCTAATGGTGTTTTGTAATCCTACTTTGAAACAACTCTAATTTGAAGCCCTAATCATGAATGGAAACCATACTTTTAAACCATAAACCCTGTCCTGAAACCATAATTTGAAACCTGAAGATGAATTGAAACCCTATGTTGAAGCCATCAATTATATTGTATGTAAAATGGCAGACAACACAAAATGGTTACCTGGAGGTGGCTGCTGCCTTCTCTGCGTCTTTCTGTGTGTGGACTGACATTGAGCTTTCCCCTTGCGCCTCCATTTCCTTCTCTCTGTCATCTGAACAAAACAACATTAACACTTTTTGACTCTGGCAGGACAAGCATGTGGCTTTATTAAAGTTACCTAGCACTTGGCGACTCCTCTCAATGGCCGTTCGCCGGGTCTGTTCAAAAATGGCATCCAGGTCAAATGTGCGGGCCTTCTTTCCTAGTGGCAACAAGTTTAAAAACGTTCATTTTAAGAGCACTTTAAAGATTATATGTACTCTAATCAACACCCCCCGCCTCCCACATCACACATACCAAAGCCAGAGAATCCCATAACAGAAGTGATGTCTCCATCGTTGTTCATCTTGCCTGGAAATGACAAATTACTAGTTTGTGAGAGGAAAACAGTGGCTAAGACAACCCAACGCGGGCTAAAAATCAAGTAAAAGCGCCATTTCCTTCGCATTTACAGCCTTATTGCAAAGACATGACGAAAAGGTGAGAAAATATTGTCGACGGGGAGTCATATAAAACTCCCATTTGAAAATCACGTGAAAATAAATGACAAATAAGGGCAAAAGTGAGTACCTTGGCCGCTGTTGGGATCCATATTTGAGGCGAAGATTCTTCTTCTACGGAGATGCTTCGCTTCTTCTTGTCGTTAGTAGTACAGTGCCACCTAGTGTTTCATAAACGAGGTGCAAGATGCCGAAACTATGCCCGATTACCGTTTAGTGGTTAAAAGTTATTTAGCTACACGTCTGGAATATGAAATAACTATTATAGAGCAGAAATTATTTTTTTTCTATTTTACTGACGTTCTTAATCATATAACTGAGTATATAAACGAATCTGGAAATAATTGCTGCCAAATACATGGATCATTTTCATATGGTGATTTGATCAATAATAGTCAGACATACCTAAATGAATTTCACTGGGAAAATAATCTACAATTTTACTGATATGAGTACATTATTTACATTTGCAATCATTCAAAGAGTAAGCACAAAGTTCAATGTGTGTTACACTTTTAATGCCAAGACTTTTTACCTTACCTGTCCCAAAATAAAGTACATTTTCAATGTGTTCCCTTTCAAAAGACTTTTCAATTATTAAAAGTGAAATGTATCTAAGACAGTGTGTACAAAAGTGAGGAACTAGAAAAATTCAAGCAGAAATGTGGCACACAACTACAGTTTTAAAAAATAGTGCACATATGAGTGCATCCAGACAGTATTCGCAGAGCTTCACTTTCCCCCCACATTTTATGTTACAACCTTACTGCAGAAGGGATTGACTTCATTTTTTCTCTCCAAATTCAATGCACTAAACTAACAAAATTAAAAAGTGAGAAATCACATGTACATATAAGTATTCATAGTCTTTGCCATGAAGCTCAAAGGACAGCATCGCGCTTCTTCATCTTCGCATTCAATTTCTTAGGCCCCATTATCAGGAAATAAAATAAGATGGCAAAGTGTTCACTGCAGGTAAAAACCTAAACTGACAGTGGCTGGATGTTGTTGACGTGTTTGTTGCTGCGATTTAGTTCTGAAGCTGATGTGCAAGTAAAATTTGTGCGAGCAACACAAAGCAAAAATTAAAAATTAAAATAATAAGTGCCCAATCGATGACTCGTAACTTCTTGAGAAGGCACATAAATTCCCTTCAGTGTTAAATTTTGCCTGAGATGCAGGCAATCAGGTCTGTGCCATGGCCGCCATCCTCTCGATAGCCGTCCAGTCGACCTCGCTGAGGCTGCCGCCGCTCTCCGACAGTTTGTCTAGCCACTCCATACCTGGCACACCCGCTCTGGTGCCGCTGTCCTCCTCGTCTATTAATTCAGACAGTAACAGATTGACGCCCTGCTGGGTCATATGCTGGTCCTCGAGGGCAGTGGCGGAGGTGACTGGACGCTCCTTCAACAGAGAGGTCCCTGATATTGAGAGAGAACGTCAAACATTCAAGTGAAGTGAAGAATTTTAAGGTAAAGTGAATTCAGTTCATTTTAGAATAAGGTGGCCATAACATTAAGAAATGTGGAAAAATGATGCAAAAGCATTGAATGGATTGTCATGCTATTGTTGGATTGTCAGTGTGGTATTGCTACCTGGCCTTTGCTGGAGTTCAGGCCTCCCCCTGTCCTCTGAAGGTCCTCCAGTTGCTTCGGTAGTGCAAGGACGACGCTGGGTGTGCGTTTGGCTTGAGGGATAGTTCAGACTTTTCTCTTTCCTGTAAAACCCAAACATAAGATTTGAATGTCATCAAATGCAGGCAAGATCGTTCAAGACAATTCGCAAATTTCTGAGGGTCTCGCTCACACATGAGACAGAGGTGTAGATTTTACTGCTGGGGAAAAAAAAAAAAAAAAGTACCTGTGATTGCCAGCCGTGGCCAGAGCGGAGGAGGATCTTACGGCCGGAGCATCATTGACTAAACTATGAGTGCCAGGCAAGGGGCTGGTGCGAAGTTGATCTGCCAACAACCTGGCGTCGCGGAGCCTCTGGTTGAATCGTTTCAAAAGCAAGGACCTGCCACGGTAAAGAAAATGAGAATCATGTTTGTAAACTACAAATGTGCGTCGCACAAACACACGCCCATCTGACTTTACACCCGCTGCACTGCGATGTTGGTTTGAATCTGATTAACTGTTCCGCTTGAGTACTAGGTGGTATCATTGCACACATGATGAGCGGCCACAAACTCAAGAAGACGACTATTTGTTATAAAGTCAACTTACCATAATATGTCACCTTTTAAAAAAAAGTTCTTACTTTTGCTTTTCTTGTGTCTTTCGCCCACTGGTCACTTGGCTGGTGGATTTCTGCAAAGAAGAAGAGCACAGATGAGCAACGACATGGATCTAACCTGGTGGAAAAATTCTTGCCCCGATGAATGATCCGACCGGTGTTCTGGTAAAAGGTTTGATCTCCCTCTCGCGCAGGCTGGCTTTCTGTTTTTGATACACAGAGTGTCTCTCCCTCTGCTTGCGTCTCATCCAAATCTTCAACTCCCGTCTCTCGTCATCCTCGTCATGGACGGCACGCGCCGGGGAAATCTGCAGACTCGGTTCTTGCTGCTCTTTCCTGCTTCGCGAGAGCCACGTCGTCTTTCAGCTTCGCGATACTGACAAGTCATGCATAATTGAGTAAGACCTGTACCCGCTGTCGAGCGCGTTGGATAAAGACGCGTCCAGGTCATTCTGGGATATATAACCTTCTCGCACCAAACCCTCAAGGATCTCCGCTGTATCAGACAACCCCGTGTGATCCAGACTCTCATCAGGAGTCCTGGAGGTCACACACACACACACACATGCGCACGCGGGACGACGGAACAGTTAAAATGTGAGTTAATGAACAGGTGTGAACCAAAAGGCTAATAAAATCCCCCCAAACCAAGAGGATTTTCAAAATGTGTTACTGTCCGATGAAAATGCACTTACTCGTCAAACGTTTCCAATGTTACGGTTGACAGTTGCTCTGTTGGAGGAATAAAATATTACAATAAGATAACAAGAATTCATGGTCGCGAATGGACAACGGGTACTAAAACGACCACAAGTGCAGTTTTTGGCCGCTGCGTGAATGAGGTGAATTTACTTGGAAGGCTCTGGTGGCCATGACAAAGCTGAGAGGAAGAAGTCGGATGCACAGCCAACAGCTTTCGGTCGGGATTGTGATCGACATTTGGAAACGCATCTTGTTTCTCGTCCTCTTCAACCTGGCGGATGTCATGTTTTGGTGCGGCCTGAGGCGGAGGCGGCGCGGCTCCTTTTTTGGTGATTAAAATGCAAATTATTATGAAAGAGGTTTATTTTCAACGCTCCATTTATGTTTTGTTACCTTTTGGGAAACCAAAGGCGACATTGACCGCATTCGTTAGCCGATTTATGACGTTGACATTGAGAAGAGGGTTAAAAACAAACAAACTTACTGGTTTCGATGATGGGCTTTCTCACACCGATGGGAGTGTGTTTTGGCTGTGTTTTGGGCTCTTCCGCTGGGAGAAACAGTCTCACTGTTTTTCGTACTGCGGGCTTCACATTCGGAGGTGAGACTGGGGAGACTTGCTGTGGCTTGTACGGCTACACAAACATAAAATGCGACCACATTCCCGTTTGAAAATCGGAATAGGATGAATACACAAGGCTAAAATACCTTCTTTGGAATTCTGGACTGAGGCAGGTCCTTCTCCAGACAGTCGGCGATGTTCTGCAGCGCAGCCAGCTGTGAATCCAGTTTGGAGAGGTGGGACGAGAACCAGACCGCGGCGATTTCAGACGGATGGTTGCGAGGTTCGTCAAGTCTTGGGGTCCTGATGGATGTAGAAAGCTCGGAGTCTGTTGAATCTTCACTGTAATGCGGAGAGACTCTCTCTGGCTCCCTGTGGGAAGGTCTCTTTCTTCTCGGTGTCTTCATGGCTATCGTGAGCTCAGAGTCAAGTCGTTCCTCAGAGTAGAGGCTCTCTGGTTCCAAGTTGTGAGGTCTCTCTCTTCTTCTTGTCCGAATGGCTTTATAAACCTCCCCATCGTTTACATTCTCAGAGTCGACTCTTTCTGGCTCCCTGTTGGGCTCGGTTGTGCTCTTGCGATCTAGAATATGAACACAAATGCAACGGTGCCTTGAGATACGGGTTTAATTTCTCCTTTGACCACAAAAATCAGTATTTTATGAATGATAACGGATATACAGGTTTCTTATGTACTATATGTTATTCCACCTAGTGGAGGAACAGTTAGTTGTTTCGCCTGGCAAAATAAGTCTCGGGCATAGACTGATAAATAATCATTTTCAAACCAATGAAGTGAGAATGGATCATTTCAATGTGTTGCAGCAGTGGTTGGGAATGATTGGTTGAACCCATGATGACATTCTCAAATCCAGACCTGTTTGAGTGACAGTTGTGGGAATCTTCTGATCGGCATGGTGAGCACTATTAATGCCGGAAGTGGCGAGCATGTGAAGCTGAGCAGGCGTGAGCACAGTAGGGATGGAAGAAGCTTCTTTCATCCTGGAGCTGGCAGGGGGCAAATCCCGATGCTGCGTTCCCTCTTCGATGTCTACGACGCTCAGGAAGTTGCGGCCGCGCTGATCCTGGCAGAGATGACAAAAATGGCCATGTGGCATTTGCTTTTTGTTTATTTCACTGGATCTTAGATGTCAAACAAAATATTTTCCCTGCAGAGAACAAGAGTCATGGAAAAAAAATAAATAAATAAAGTGTGACCGGTGTTAGAAGACCTTGTTCATTTTAATGCCTGTTACCACTAAAAGTGTATCATGTGACTAACAGACAGAAAACAAAACATGACATGTCCGAATGCCCCTGTTTTTGACATTAAAATGTCATAGCTATTAATGCAAGAATTTCAGTGATTTAGGGCATTATAATCTCAAGAAAACATGAAAATTGGCTCGATATCTGCTCTAAAATGAAACAACATTTTTTTTTTTTTTTGTTATTTCTTTTGCTGAAAAAAAATGTACTTTTAGTTGTTTCAGGCATTGAAAATTAATGAAAGTTCCCCTCCTGTATCGGGTGTGAACCAGATCGTGATATGACCTGACCATTTTTGATCTTTTTCTACACTCAGACATTATTGTGGTTTCACTGTTGCAACCAGCCACTGACATTCCTGCATTCGATAGTGTGTGTCTCAACACTGCAATCTTACCAAATTCTTCCTCTCTTGTAAAGGCGGGATAACATTTGCGTCTTGAGGGCTCTCTCTGTACAGTTTCTCCGGAGTGTGTTCTTTTGACTTGCCTGTAGAAGTGGTGGCTAATAGTGAGGCTTGGACTGACACTGCTTTGTCCACAAGCATGGGAGAATATTCTGAAAGCCGGGGAAAAAAATAAACAGCAAGATGCTTTCTCATCGCCGTCTGAAAATCCCTCTAACCATTTTCGAGAGCGCTCGTCCTCATTTGGGTCACAGGTTAGATGGAGTCTATGAAAGCTGATACTGTAATAGGGGAGAACCAAAAGGCTTACTTGGCTCCGTGTTGGTGAAAGCATCGAGGCACTCTGGGGGTCTTTTACACGTGGAGGCGAAGGCATGGAGCTCGGCTGAAGTCGTTCTCGTCCTGTCTAATAATGTGCGACCATTCGAAACAGAGCGGCTGGATCCTGAGGGACTTGGAATGGTGGCTGACAACAGTAGAAACACAAAGACTTCATGACAGTTAGCCCAACCATAAATGTACATTTTATCATATTGTGTGCGGCTCACTTTGAATGGAAGCATTCCGTGCAGTGGTGATTTCCTCTTGGTCAACTTTGGGCTAAGAAAAAAAAAAAAATTAACAAGAATGTTTGCATTGTTTGAATTTTTAAAAATGATCTACCTCTTGTGCGGTGATGATGGGCTGCTCACTTGGCAGATTTGTCCTCAGTGCCCTCTCTCGTCTCTTCTGCCTATAATCACACAGTCAGTCAAATGGCTATGATGAAAAAAGGGTCGTCAGGATTACAGTTGATAATATTGTGCCTCTTGCTGGAGCTGGAGGAAGGTGTAGCCCCTCGCTGTGCTTCGGCAGAGTCGTTGACTCTGAGCAGCTGCAGCCGAGCTTCTTCCGAGTTGCGCCTCCCTGCCACTAAACCAGCCAATTCCTCCAGGGAGATGAGGCGAGCTTTTTGAGACGAGCGAGGTGCCGGGGTGGACATCTGCGGAAAAAAATTAAATGCCAGATGTTTTTTTTTTTTTTTTTTTTTTTGGTAAGGCTGACTCAAGACACAACACAATTGCCCCAAGTGGTTATTCTAGCCGACTACTCAATTCTGTTAAAAGTTCTAATCTAAAAAAATTGCTGGGTGTTATCATTAGCTAATTATCTGTTAATCAGTTTGTAAAACTGGACATTTGATTTGGCGGCGTCTTCAATAAGTTTTCCCTCTTCACAGTAGATTCATTATTTTGCACTGTTTCCTTTTGTACTTGAGTACATTTCTGAACCTCTGAGTAGAAAATACTCACCCTTGTCGGTTTGGGGTCTATATGTAGAAGCTGAAGTTTGGGCGTTTCACCCAGCGGCACTGCGGGGAGAAAGAAATGCTTGGGAAGAGGTGTTGAATGTGTTTTAGGGAGATTGATGTGTCCTTGTGCACCAGGCTGCAGGTGCAGAAGACGAAGGCCATGTGTCACATCAGATGTGGGATTCTGGGGACGAAAGCTCCTTGTAGAAGGAGACTCAGTTTGAGTGCTGTGGCTAAACCGAAGAAGTCTTTTTGGAGTCGAAGACGCGCCTTTTGTCTTTTTCTTGTCTCTCTTCCTACCACCTTGCAGCTGGAGTAACTTGAGGCCCGATTTTTGAGAGGACGGGTTTGCATTAATATTACCAATAGAGGGCGCTATCGTATTAGTGTTTGAGGTGATCAGAAGCCCTTCGCTGGATGGGATAAACCTAATGCTTTCCTGAAAGTGAATGTCCGTTGACTCGGCCTGCACAGAGAGGGGGGGAAATTCCTGAAAAAGAGAAATAAGACAAGAAAGAACGTATTAAAATGAGTGCTAATAAAGGAAGACGTGTAGCTCCATTGAAGCACAAATGGGACAAAGTAGTACAGATTCAATCAGTCGTGTGAAAATAACAAGAAACAAACAGAGCGTCATCACGCGTCATCTTTTAAACAGACAGATGCGCTCACACTATGACGTATCCCACATTGAATGACGTCTTCAACACGACCGCGGGTGTGTGGACGAAATGAAATGCACGTTACAGCACGAATGTAAAAATGGAATCAACTGAAACGCTTATGGGAAAACCACAGAAGAGTTTCTTTTTTTAAACTGGACAAATTACGGTAAAGTTCGCAGAGCGTAATTACACACGCAGCTCTGCACCATAACACGGACATAAATAGTTCCTTGATCATTTTTATCGCCCGATCCCAATCAACTCATAGTGCGTTGTTTGTGTTTCGTTAAACACACGAACGTTGTGTGAACAAATAGCCATGCTGACGAGACAACCTACACATAAAACACAGCCCAAGGGCTAGGAGCGTCAACATTTTGGTGATTTGGGTTGCCGTGATCTGAAGTGGATTGAATGTCACTTTGCGAGGAGCGGGGTTAACCCTGAACGGGTTTATCAATTGCAGGGTACATAGATAAATATTCACATTCGGACGCAATTGGCTAAAAATCCCGAGGATAAAATCATCCAAGGACACCCACAAATGGTAAAAATACACCTATTGAACCAAAATGCTTCACGTCTACCTTTTGTAGCATGGTTTCTAGAAGTTTTTTTGTATCAACTCATGATAAACATGTATCTCAAAATTAGGCAGATTTTTGTTTGTAATTTGTCAGGTGCTACCCCTAGACAAATTTGTGGGTGACAGTGGGTGGCCTACGAGATGTACATTTCCACCTGGATCAACATGAGTATGTGAAATCCCTCAAACAAAGAACAACAAGGAAACTTCACACAGCAAGGCAGAAATCCAACACCACGCCAAAACCTAGCTGGGTATGTATCAAGTAATAACACACCTGATAGATTCCTCCTGCGTCATGACTGGCATAGGCAACATTGCTGACGTGATGAGGTCCGTGTGTGCTATGTGTGGGAGTCTGGTAGGCATATGGGGGGTTGCTCGAGTGTTGGTCAGGCACGTGTATTTGTGATTGAGACACTGAAGGGTTTTGCGCAGGTTGGGGATAATGTTGAGGTGGCACATTGGTCATGTAAGGTGAAGGCACACAATGGGGGGTCATATTGGATTGAGCTAAATAGGAATTCTGCTGGGCAAGTTGCAGATTGGAAAATGAAGCTCCCAAAACATCCATCAGGCTCATGTAGTTGATGTTCTGCAACACAGGGCCAACAGTTCAATCAGCAGGTAAGCGTCAATGCATCTATGGAGGCAAATCAGGAAGTGTTACCTGGACCAGTCGGTACAAATCTTCACCCAGACGCTGTCTCATTGGCGGAGCCTGAAGTGAGGGTGGTTGGTCTGGGCCAAAATGATCCAGAGCGGGTGCGCCAGCTGTTGTGGTGAGAGGTTGAGAACCTGCATGGTCTAACGATGTTTTGGGGTACAGATTTGCTCTCGGATGGGGGAGCTCGGTGTGAAGCGATGCCTGAGGCTGGACGGAGGGAGGAATTTGTGGGACTGGACCATCCGGTGCCAGGATCACTGGATGGTTTTCCACCTGACTGAAGATTGGACAACAAAACAAGTGATGCAATAAATATGCTATCACTGCAGCGTTGTTATTTTATGAGATATAAAACTTGACAAAGCCAGGACCTTTAATGCAAAAGTTTCTAAATTGTTATTCACATGCAGAATCAACTGAGATTCAGAACTCACGCAGATGTTGAGCTGGACGTCTCAATCAGTTCTTCAAGCTTTAAACTCTGAAAAGACGATAACACAGACATTTGTTTATAAATGCAAACCGCAGTGTATAATAGCCAGAGTGAAAGATTGATATTGACCGCTTGAGGCGAGCAAAGGTTATCAGACATGATCCCGTTGGAGAGAGACGACGAATGCTCCATGCGGTCATCGCTGCTTTTGCCTGTGACAAAAACATGTTGACGTTCACTTAAGATGATTTATTGCAGCTGACGTACTGACTGGGACATCGTGCCTTCTTTTTCTGGCGTGACATCCAAATCATCAAAACACGGTCGCTGCGATGGTGAGCTCGGGATCGGAGCGGTCAAGTTGAGTTCATCTGGCTCATCAGGGAGAGACATCCTGTCAGACTTCAACTCTTCTGGTTCGTCTACGTGAGAACAACTACAAGAGCATACACAGGTATGAAAAAAACTATCGTATCTCCGTGAAAATTCTTAGTCATCCAAGTCATGGTGAGCCACAAAAGTTGAATCAAGGCTCATTTCTAATATGGTAATTAATACTGTACATAGTACACAGTGGCGGTTTCTGATACGCGACACACAAGGGAAGCATTTCTGAAAAAAATCAAACCTGAAAAATAAATACTCACATAGACAGTTCTCCTTGATCTACGATGTGATCCAGACCAGCAACTGGAGTGTGAGCCGATCTAGGGCGGCTGGTCTCAACAGTGCTATGCCTCTGCAGTCTCGTGTCCGCCTCCGATTGCAGCAACGGGGTGATGGCCCATCGTGCTTCCGGGCAGCCTGGCTGGAGCAGATGTATGAACCTGCGCTCCAGCAGGCTCAGCGAAGTGAGCAGCGCTGGCGCAGAAGTTTTGACGCGGATGACTATCCCATCCTCGCACATTCCTTCTCCCTTTGGCTTCTTCTTCTTGCCAGTGTGCCCAAGGAGCACCCTCTTGTCAGCCCAGCGCAGCATCCACTGCAGCAGCCTGCCCAGCACTGGAAAGCGGGCCTCTAATTTAGGATCCGGGACCTGTTGAAGTTCTACGATGGCTTCCGCAGTAGTTGAGGAGGCAAACGCCAAGGCACTTTGGTTACCGTCAGAACCGGAGCCTCTCTTCTGATTTCGAAGACTAAACAAACCCATCTGCCTCTCTGTCCGAAGCTCCGACAGCGCAGACGCAAATAAGTTACTTTTGGCTTCACAAGCACCATTCAAGGCTGCTGAAGTCTGCGACTCGGGGGTCGTACCGCCCTTCGCCGGCCTGTGGCAGCATCCGGGTCTGAAGACCGGGAGCTCGTTGCCACGGTGTTTCCTGGCCGGGAGCTGCCCATTTCTTTGGCGGCGGTGAATCGTGGTGAGCACGTCAAAGGTGAGCGAGTGCAGCTCCTTGTCTCGCAGAGCGGAGTGAAAGGACTTGAGCAAGGGAAGCTCGCTCCCGTCGCTATTCTCTTTCTCCAACATGTAGCTGAGGAAAAGCTCGAGGAAGGTGAGATACTCATCATCCTCTAGCTCAAACTCCCAGGTGCCAATGACTGGAAGTGAGTGTGGCACTACATCCTCGATCGCCTTCTGAGTGGCAACAGCAGTCCCCGTTGCTTTCACTTTTACCTCCCTGTCGAAAGACAACACAATAAATCAACACCACAGAAAATCTGTTGATTCTCTTGCGGGGTGATTAATCCCTTTTACGATTACAGATTATTTTTATTATTACAATCTTGTCATAGGAAGTAAAAACAACAATGTGGCCTGCAGTCTAAATGAGTTTGACACCCCTGCGTTCATGCCACTGGCTACCTGGGTATGGATGAGATGTGAGGATCAGGTAAGACAGCTTCAGAGGTGGCCTCCGATCTTTCTCCATCAACGCAGTCGGTTACAGTGCTGGCGCTCACACTTGCGACTGGTGAGCATGGCCTCAGAGTGGCCGCCTCGTGTTTGTCGTCTTCGTCTTTCTCCCACAGCCGAAGCTCCAGGGGGGCCAGGTGCCTCAGCAAGCGGCCTAGGTGCTTTCTCCTCTGCCTGAGTTTCTCTTGAATCAGAGCCTTCATGGGCTTGCTGTCTGGCTCTTTGCCCTCCTCTGGAGGAGAGAAAACTGTTTAAGGCTCCCTTTCTACATTCATTGGCTACTTTGTGAGGTTTCATGAAAGCAGTTCTACAGTTGAAGAAACGCCTCATGTCATATTTTAAATGTGTGACATTTTGTCATTGTAGTTGTAGTTGGATTATGTTCATTTAAAACTGCAAAAAAAATGTATTATCACTTTTGTACATTCCAAAATTGTAAGACGCGGTACAGTTGAACACAAGCAAACTACAACCACAAATCTTGAAGCTTTATTTTTAAAGGCAAAATGGATTTACTTAATCAAGTGTTGGTAATATCAACACATATGAAATTGTACCAAAGACACTGCATTGCTTCAAGCCCTCCAGCAGTGAGTTGTACTTCTCCCTCAGGGAGACTCTGACTGACTCTTCCTTCTCTGGGAAGGCAAGTACCAGGGTGTCTGCCACCTAGAGAGGAAGAGCAACAAAATGTGAGTTTACTTATCGTTTTCCCATGTCTGGGGGAGGAAACAGATGAAAAAGACATTTCACCAAGGCCAGCGGGGGCAATTCAGCCAACAGGCTGAGGAGGAGGTCCTGCAGGATTTCCTCCGTGTTCAGGAAGTGAGAGAAAGGCAGATAGCGAGTGACCCAAAGAAGTGCATCAATGCAGGATGAATGCACTTGTGAATTATCAGGGTCCTTTGAGGACACACAAAATAAAAAGCAAACAAAATGTTCAAGCCTTGCACAGTTAAAAGATAATTACCCCCAATTCAACATTGTCGTCATACCTGTTGCATTCTGGCAGCCTGAAACCTCCTGCAGGCAACAGAAAGCTGATCCCTGACATGAAGCATCCAACATAAACCACACAGCTCCCTAAAACAGACTTTAGGAAAATTAAGTAAGGAACAGAAAGTAGATCTGGCGTCCTTTGCATTCAGCCCTTAAATTTTTCCAAGCAAACCCTCCTGCAATCAATTATAAATAACTGACATGTGTACTTGTAGGTATGTCCACTCTTAAATCATACAGCATATTTTCTTGCAAATTAAACATCAGGTTGAGAACCACTGGCTCACGGCATATTGAGTGGTGTCTTACTAATAGTTTGACTGCAATCAGGCTGTAGAGTTTTGCTATGGCTCCGTCTGAAGAATCCACCACGGCTGACAAACTTCATCAGGCCCTCTGGGAGAGCCTTTTCTTCTTTGGGGAAGGATGGGTAGGCGTACTTCGTCTTGATCTCAAGAAAAACATAATACTGTATGTTTTATAACATGGCTCACTTAATTCCTTAAAGCATCTAATGCCGAAGATGCTCTACCTTGTGTAGTAGGTGACGGGCCCGCCGCAGGTTGCCGACATACCACTGAGCAGCAGGGTGGCAACATCGAGCAGACCTGAGGAGGAGCAGGATCCTCTGAAGAACGCCAGACACTTTGTGGCGTGTTGCCACTTCTGCGAGCTGTCCCGGTGTCCCCACAGGATCCTGAAAGATGCACGCATATTCTTGTCAGGCGAATGATACACAGTGGATAAAAAAGTCGACACTAGGGGAGTATTGAGGGAACTACGACAAATTTTGTTTTTTAAAAAATGTAATTTGCTTTCCAAGCAAAGGGGGCGGGATCAATTATACGCAATTGGAAATCTGATGCTTGTGAGAAAAAAAAAAAAAAATGGAGATTTTCTTTTAAGGCTTTATAGCCCAGCCTAACATGAACATGTTATTTTGTATTGAGTACCTGAGTGTTCGGGGAAGGCTGAGGACAATACAGAGGTGGGGACGGCAAATACAGCCCACTGTGGACTAGAGCAGACATGCTTGAGCACAGGTCCTTAGCTGATTCCAGTAAGGAAGTCAATTGTGACGTTAAAACGTCAACACCAGCGATGACGGATGCTTTTAGGATCTCCTGGGCGGACCCCTGCAACGCATCCAAGTTTTGCGCTTCCACAGGGTCTAGTCAAACAAAGAGACATGTGGATTGATGGATAAAAGCGGCTGTGTCATAATGTTCACAAACCTGTAAATCTTGTATCATTGACATCACTGTGCTCGCCACTGTCATTGTCCACAAGACACTGCAACTCTGTCTGAAAAATGCTTTTGGGGAGTAAAGCTTTTGGAAGGTGAAGCTCCGGTCTGCTGATCCTGTTTTAAAAAAAAAAACGAGTGGTACAAACAACAAAGTGAAGAGGGCACAAAACCACTCCCATCACACACTGACCGTGTCATGTCCAAGTGGCCGGCACAGTAATACACATAAGCAAGGCTGACAGAGGCTGACGTCTTCCAGTCCCCAAGCTTGTACGCCAGCCATGCCGTCTCGGGGAGCAGACCCCCAAGCAGGAGAAGGTCCACGGCGTAGTCCACGGTCCACTTCTCTGACATGTACTGCTGGCGAACTGCTCGAGCCGTTGTCTCCTGACACAGCGGCACGAGGCGTCCTAGATTTGAGGCTGGGCCACAAGAGGAAATCAATGAGATTGGGTTGCTGTGACTCGCTTTTTTTTTTAATTGTCAATCAAAATTAAAACATGAAAATGGTGCTTCATTATTTTGAAGGTTTTTTTTTTTCCATCCCAAAAAAATGAGATGAAAATCTTTGCATTTTAGGCTCCAATCAGAAATATAAACTGGACTACTGACTACTTTGTAATGGTTTTGTCATTTAATGTCTTTTTTTGTGTTTTTTTTTATGTTTCCTCTCTCCCAAAAATTTTTTTTAAGTTTTCATTTTCTGATTTTCCTTTTTTTTCTCCACTCGCTTCACTCATTTTGATGTGAGTTTAGTGTGACCGTCAAGACAACCTTAACAACACAAACCATGAGGTTGATGTAACGGCGGCAGAACGGCCACATGGTGTGCAGGCAGGATGTTGAGTGGCTGATTGGTAAAATAGGCAGCCATGAACCTCCCTAGAGTCTGAATGACGGCAACAACTGCGTCGATGTGAAGGTTCGGCGGCAGGAGGGGGTCGGCTGCAGAGCACAAAGTGCAATCCTAAGCACCTTGGACAAATTGGCTGCATTTGCCCACCTGAATTGACTGACCTGTTGTGCAAGTCGCATGCTTATCGTGGTGACCAGCGTTGTGCAGCGCCAAGTGGGCCATGTGTTCTCCCAACTCCACGGCTTCCTTTAGATGGTACTGGGACAACAGGTTGTAGAGTAGAGCCAGACAGAGTCTCGTTTCCTGGAAGGCGCTACGACGACAACCTAAAAGTGAGAGAGAGAGAGAGAGAGAGAGAAACATATTTGTACGATATTTTAAAGTATTATGTCCATTTGAGAATGAAAATAACATACTCTTTTTACTCTCTTCCCAAATTTGTGTCCGCCACATCTCAGTGCTGTGTTGGTACAGGCCACATAGGAATAGTTCTTCACCTGAGAAAGCAATAATATCATCATCATCAATATTATTATTATATTTAAGATGGATGAACCCTGCATGGTTGGAAATGATATAATGACAGTGTTGTGCTTTCCAACGGTACAACAGGATGTACAGGATACACTCATCGGAATCAGGCCTCCTACAAATGTGAATATGAACCTCATATGTATCAGACAGCCGTCAATATGAGAGCAATGAAAACACTAAGATCAGCAGTAGCGCATCAATGCCAGAATAACATAATAAAAATGTACAAACTGGTCACCTGTACATACCCAGACAACACAAATAACACAAATAATCACTAAAGCACCCATTAATGTGCCTTTTAACCTGTCCAACCCAAGAAGAAAAATGAAGGGTTGTTTCTAACCTGTGTGATTCAGCAGTGCAGGACCCTCTTCTATTCTCTCTCCGGTTGCTTGCAGAGCTGTTTGAATCTTGGACATGATGATTGACAACTGCTCCTCGCCACCTTCCTCCGACCCATCGTCGTCCTTGAAGCCTCGCAAGCCTTCCTTATAATCCTGGCTGATCTTGTAGACCCACTGCCACACTCCAAACAGTCTGGAGGCCATTTGGAATAAAAATACCAAACGTAAAATATGACAAGCAAGACAAGTGTGTTACCATTGGCAAAGAGGATATGTTTTCATCACCATTTGTCTTTTTGTGAATTAATATCAAGCACATTCCACTCAATTTTATGCCGAAATGGTAATGAAAGAGATCTATTTTTGCTGTTATCAACACTGTGGCTCAAAATGTCACTTTGGCTCCGCATTGTCTGTTTTGATCAAGACAAAACAAACCTGTTGGACGGTCGCTGGGGTAAAGGCAGAACCTGATGAAAAGGGTCACATCGGTGCTCCCTGTAATCCTGTAGCTGTGGCACATGGTAGACATCTGAAGAAGAGAGTGGAGGGTCCTTCTCCACCGAGGACCAAACGGTTCTTTGCTGCAGGCTGTAGGCGCAGTCAAGGGCCTCCGAGGCAAGCTGGAGAATGAGCACAGCGTCGGATAGTCTCTTGACACAACTTGCTGGGTGGGACTCTGGTGGCGGGGCGAGCAGCAGGTGGACCAGCCGCTGACTAAGCTCCACCGCCAGCCCCAGGCCAGGAGGCCCATCCAAGTGAGTGTTATCCCACGGGAGGAAGGAGAAAAGCGCTTTGAGGAGCTCCATGATGCAAGCAGAACCAGAGGGGTCACTTTTGCCAGAATGAGCTGCATCGTTTGGCATCAAGTGTAACAGAGCAGCAAGCTGCGCCACGCGAAAGGTGGTACATTTAAGCAGGTGGGCTCGGTTTTCCACTGCGCCTCCCATAGACATGCAGAGAGCCCACGTTGTCAATATTCCATTTTGGATCTTACTGAGATCCCGCCGAAGATGACATATGGTCATCTCAATGTCCTCTTCGTGATCTTGATTGAGGTCAGTCTCTGTGTCCAAAGCGTGGAGCGTGTCGAACATGGAAGCAAACTCCAAGTGTCCGCTGTCCGCCAGCTGTGAGCCAGGAGGAGGGCCGTCGATATCGGAGTCATCTTCAAAGAAGGACTGGGAAAATCAGATTGGTAGAAAAACATGAAAGAAACGTTTAATTTAGTTGAGAACAGTAATTACAATACAACTATTCAAGAAGGATAAGGAGCGAACGCTGATGTTGATTATTTCAAAATACTTCCTTGACACCAATTCCTATTTAGACACGACTTTGACAACATCTCGTAGCATCTTAGGGCCTTTCGGAGTCAAAATTTGCACCCCAAAACACAAAATGAAGAGATCATATAGTTCGTTAGACAACCATGTTTCAAATGATATAATTTTTTGGGGGGAACACCCTATAGGTGAGTTTTTCTTCTTCAATCGAACCACTGAAATGAAGACGGAATACCTTGCCAATCATATTCTAATCTATCACAAATCTAGATTGGACAGACCTGAACTCTTTCGAACAACTCTTTGGTGCCACTGAAGGTGCCCGGGTCCTGAAGAAAGAAAGGTAAGGTGGACTCCTGCGTGGCTGCAGATATGATCGAGTCCGCACGGTGAGGCCCACTCGTGGTCAATGATTTGCCGTCCAGATCGAGGTAGGACTCCAAACACGTCCTCACGTACATCTACAGTGAGCAATACCAACAAAACATGAACCAGAAAACAACCTCTTCTAATGTTCTGAAATGGTTTGAATCGGTTGAGTACTGTGGAAGAGTTTGGAAAATGTATGCTTTGATTTGGGAATTGTTCCATGTTCATTCGTAATTCTGTAAAAAAGTGGGAATTCGGGGAGGTTTAATACATCACCATCAGTTAAGTTCCTGTTCGAGTACCTGAGATGTATCCAGAAGCCGGCAGGCCTTCTGAAGGTCCTTGCCGGTGTTATCCAACAGAGCTTTCACCAGCATTGCGGGAGAAGGCCTGTTGAGGACCCTCAGTACGGTGGCCATGTAGCCGTCGGACACGATGCAGTACAAGAGGCGCGGGTGCCACGTGACGGAATAGCGCTGCCTCATGGCGTCTCGCGCCGACACACTGGAGCTGGACAGGTAGGCCTCTGCTCTTCCGGTTGGAGGTCTGCATGGTGGAAAAAAAACACATTTCTTATACTGACCTCACTGGCCGCTGTTGGTGTCTAACTGAGTAGGCTAACTACACAGTAGATTTTAACAAAGACCAACCGGTAAGTGACCAGTGGGTGAAGGGGCAGGAAGTGCGCGGCTCCAAAGTCGATATTGCAACCGGAGCTGGTTAGCGAAAGGAGCCCGCCAAGACGACTCAGGACCAAGAGGGCGCCTCGCTTCAGAACGCAGGCCAGGAAAAGGCTGTCATGTGACCAACTTAGACTGCCTACCCAGTATGACCTAAAGCAAAAAAAATGTAAACAGAAAAAAAGCTTGTAAGTTATGTGCATAATCACAACAACTTCCATTACCATTTGTCCACCTTGTGTATTTAGGAGGAATCTGCTCCGTTTTACATCCACACCTTCCAAGACCGCTTGACACAGAGACAAAATTTTGTGTGCTCACAAACAGAACCTGCGTAGCCTAGATTGAAAAACAATTTTACATCACAGAGTGATCTCAAATGCACAAGATGAGACGGAGAACACGTAGACGCTCACCTTGGGCTGCCGCTGGTTCAGCGCGATGGCTAGCAGTTGTCCGTCAGGAGAGAAGTCAACCACCAACGCCCCTCTGGACTTGACGGCTTGGCAGGGTGGGGTGAGACGTGACATGAGGTACGTCTTGGTGGCCCACTGGATGCTGTATCCCAAAGAGCTAATCAAAGAAATGTGATATTGTGATATATATAGGATGTTTAACAAGCTGCTGTCCATTGTGGGACAATCCTCAAGTTTTCCAAAGTGTAATTAATTATTGTACGTTGGGACAAGCCATACATATAGTACAAGTGTTGTATGTGTAACTTTAGGGAACAAAGTGAGTGACTTATTGTAGCCCTTTGCTAGTGTTCTCATCATGTATTTGTGTGTCAACTGCACGTGATGAAAAAATTCGAAATTTTGCTTTGTATTTTGGGGTTGGAATCCTGATGTCTATAGGGAAGGACTTCACCCATTTTTAAGCAACTTACACAATTGCTGAAATCCGACCCCCCAACTGAACTTTTTTTCTACTTCTATTTATGTGATTAAGGTGTATACAAATAAATTTGACTTGACTTGATATTCAAAGCCGGGACCACTCAGCAGTAACGCAAACGTGCTAATCATTACCCCACCATGCTGTCTGAAATGACCCCTGTTTGGAAAAAGATTCCCACCCCTAGTTAAAACTATGAATGCACACTTACCCAAAGTGCACATGCTGATCCAGCCATTGAATTTTGAGGCAGGTGATGATAAGCTTCTTCCCAGATGTGAATACAAAGGCCGATAAGCAGACATCACCCATAGTCTGAAATTCAAGCATAGCGGTTACTGTACATAATTGGGTACACAAACTAACCTCAGGGACAATGGATTGCAGTGAAGCGTGACACCTGGCTTCCCACAAAGATGCTGCACTGGGATGCTTCTTTGTCCTTCAAAGTGGGTAGAGAGGTGTCTTGAGGCAGCTGCAGTTGTGCCCAGTGTCCTTTTACTGAGCCATCGCACACCAAAGTCAAATCCTCCATGTCTGTACATTCCCACAGGAGTGCTTGCCCCAGTGTAGTGACCAACAGCACACGCGTCCCATCATCTGATACGTGGACAGATATCAGGGTAGAATTACCTGCAAATAAATAAAAAATAAAATAAAAAGCATTAAAACTATGTGTCAATGATATATAGGATTATAAGACACTCACCACCACATCATTATGTACCCCTGCAATAATACCTGTCTTTACTATAGCTAACAGCTTATGAAAACATAAAATTCATCATCTCAAAATATTTGAACATCACCTTAGAAACAAGAATTTGAAAAGTACAGTGAAACCCCCATAACGGACGCCCTCCTGCAAAACGGGTTTGTCATGCACCAACACCATGCATCTAACATGTACACAATCCCGTGTCACATTTACAAGACAATTAAAGTCTAAAACAAAATCACTCAGTCCAAATAGTGCTGGGGGCCCACCTTGGATTGCAGTAATTATTTGAATGACTTCAGGGACCGCTGTGACAGTCCTCAACAAGTCGTTGTCTTTGTTCCATAAAAAGAGCTCACCCGAGGTTAAAAGTCCACAAAACCACATCCCTGGGAAACAACACAAAAAGGACATTGAATGTTTTATGTGAAGTAATGGACACTTTTGACTCCTGACATTTAAACTTGCCATTGCGGGACGGTGCCATCGTCACTACATTGTTGAGCAAAGGATGGAGTTTTGGGGTCTTCTTCTTGGTACGACCGGACACCATGTTGATCTCGCTGATCCGTTTGTCGTCGAACAGGAAGACGCATTCCTTCTCCTGCAACACCAGGAGTGAATTTGCAAGAACAGCTATCAATTTTAAATGGATGCCTGTTTATGACAAAATAAATGGTAAATATTTATGGTTGAATCTGATAGAGTTTCATTAAATTCCCAGTTAATTCCAGTGGAAATTTTCCAAAATTTCCCATCTTAACCTCGTAATAGGTAATTTTGGGGAAACTGTACACCTTTTTACAACCCTACCTATTCTACAACTCAATTCAGTGGACACAGGGGTGATTTTGTTTTGTTTCTGTACCTGTCCAAGCCAGCAAAATCGAGGCCATGGCTTTTTTCGTTTGATCCTGGAGGACAAGACCACGTCCAGCTTTAGTTCCATGCTTGCGGCGAGACACAATCAGTGTTTAACGATGCGATCAGAACGATCTTATTGACGTTCCTCCTTTGAATAATCAACAATGGGCCATCTGAAGGGAAGAAAACGAGAATTATTTCTGGTCGGACGATGCACCATTTCAGGGGACATGAATTTTGAAATATGTTACAAATAAACAAACAACTTTTGTGAGGGGATTGTGAATGGAAACATCACAAAAAGTAAGGACATTTGTGTTTGGTAAGATTAGTTGTTTTAACAATGCCTCTTGGTAAATTTATCACACGTATTTGTAGTTTAGTATGTGGGTTACGTCAATGACAAAATTGCCAAATCTAACAAATACGAATGTCCCTACATTCTGTACTACGTTTAGCTAACTACCTTGTACATACCCAGGTCTGGATGAAACGCCCTCTTCTTCATTATCATCACCACTGCCATCCTCGCTGAGCCATTCTGGTAGCTTCGGCCATGCTGTGGAAATTGAGTAACACTTGTTGGCACGTTTAACAACGAGTTTTACCAAAAACGAGCTCGACTAATTTCTTTTTTGCGCATTTTGTTGCCCCTCACGACTGCACGTAGCGGCTCATAGCATTAGCCACCTAGCTAATTGTACGGAGAGAAAGGAAGCCCAAGTATTTCGAACGTATTCGTCGTACTTATGTTTTCGCTTAAACGTCGCGTTACTTTAGTAGTTCACTTATCGAGTGATGATCACATTTAAGCAAAGCGAACGATAAGAAAGAATTCGAAACTCCCTCCGTTTCATGGGAAACACAATTTTCCCATGATCCTCTCGGGCAGAAGCCTTTAGCCGTTGCCCTAGGAACGCCAGACATGGTGACGTCTCCGGAAAATCGATACGTAAATAGGGTAGACGGACTTTTTAATTTAAATTCTTAATTGTAGCCATTTCAGTGATTAAAACGATCATTTGAGAAGTGGAGAATATTATTTTTAAACCCCACCCAGGTAGGCAAAATTCTTAGCTATCACCAAAAATGACAAACGAAAAAATTAAAATAAACATTTTGGACTGGAACAGAATTGCTTCGATACAAACAGTACAAATTACAAAGCACATTATTTACTATTCTTATATAGCGGATTATTTGTTATACTTTAAGAAATTGTATTTAATCCTGTTAAATTATTAAACGGTCGAATATGACACATTTATGAGGATTCTGCATAACTCAGGAGGATGTCAATCCACTTACAGTACGTACTAGAAATGTGTGGGGAAAGCGTTTATTTTCCAGTAGGGAGCGCTACAGAACATCACATTGAAGATTACTGTTCTCCCGGGCCCTGTAGTGCAATTTAGCAATTGTTAAAATCCAATTTTTATGCCTCTGTGTTATGCATAAATCCTCGAACGTTTTTGTTTTTTTTTTCATATAGGCTTGTACTAAATTACCGCTGCAATCACTATTCTTCATCATAACATTGCTGATGACATCTGCCATGAGAACAAAAACAGTTGATTTCTCCGTACTGTTCTTTAATGGGCTCATTTACTCATGTCTGCCAGGTGCAGATGGAGCTTTGCATTGCTGTCACGACCAGGTTCACTACGGTGCTTTGATGAGAACTCAAAAAAAAAAAAAAAGGGGGAGAAAGAGACATGTGGGCATGATAACATAAACAATAGCTGAATCAGTCATCTATGATTTTTCCTATCATTCCACTGGTACTTGTTAAAATGCATCAGGTTGATACTTAAATCTGTTTCTTTGCTGCTTGTTTGAATCTTTATACTTGAAAGTCTTCGTTATTTATTTTAAAAGTCCAAAGCACTTTTAACTTCCCAGGCCGGTCTAATGCAGAACATTGTCCAAATTGGTACTCAACCTCCTCATGCCCCCTTATTAACCTTCTATGGTGACAAAGTTAATGAAAAGGCAAACCTCAAATGGAGTCAACCCTTAAAATGAGGTCCTAAAGTGTATTTAATGTAACGAAACAACACTTCCTCTTATTTTTTGCGATATGAGCATCAAATGATCCCATGTTTTGGAGGCAATTTATTGCCATGTTGAGACTGCTGACAGTGAGGCAGCAATTGGTAAGTCGTAAAGTCATGTGAGCCCAAGCGGAAAAGCTGTACTACAACAACAACAAGTAATTAAGTGGGAGAACAATTTCAAATGTTGCACGTTCAATATAGGGGACACGAGTTGGCATGGTAACCCGCTTTGCCATCTGCAGGTCTATTCATATTCCGGTGACACTTGGGGGAGCTGTCAAGAAACAATTTAATCATGCGTCTCACATGGCAGTGGGTCAGAGGGTCTGTCTTGGAAAAACAGCGCGGCACATTATTGGTGAGTACATCCGTCTCACAGTTTAAGGTTCAGGGGTTAAATCAGGACTTCCTGTGCGGCGTTTTTGACCACATTCCAAAGAATGCGTGTTAGGTTTATTGAAGGCTCAAAATTGCTCATAGGTGTGGATGAGAGTGTGAATACTTTTTTTTTTTTTTTGTCTGTGGCCCTGCATGCACTGGCTTCCAGGGTGAACCCCACTCTTATTTCACATAAAAAAAAAAAGAAAATGCTGGGCCGCTATAAATTTTGGGCAATTTAGGTTATTTCTGCTCTAAGTTGGGTTGAATGAAGAACCCAACCTTTGGACCCTGTGCTGGGTTCGCTATTTCACCCGATTTGGGTTATTTTTGACTCAGCACTTTTAAAATGGATGAAAGGTATCCTCATTTGGCTTTGAAGTTACACTCTCAGAATGCCTGGAGGTCAGTCACTCATCCTCCTTTGATCTTTATCTATTCATAACCATAAACTTGTGGTCGCCAACGCCTTCTGCCTTTGTTAAATTAAAACTCGTCCATCCTGCTCTCCTGTCTTGAAGACATTCTCACATGCTGAAATCATTCACAGCATTTATAACACCTGATGCACTCAGGTGTTTTTTTTGTTGTTGTTTTTTTTTAAACTCAGCCTCCAAAATATGTTTGCTGATAACCACTATTGTCGGTCTACAGTACATGGGTTGGTCCACAGTTTCTGTTGAGTCTCCTGACTAGTGATGCTAAACGTTAGGATGTAAATAATCTTTTTCCATTGCTTGGTACCATGAAGCTAAGTGAACGTTGTTTTAAATACACTTACGTTGAATGGCTGTGATGATGTGTACATTGCGTCTACCTCTTAATGTCGTTAATAATGACTTCAACTGTGTTCACTTTTGTGAGGTAACAAATATATCGAAGAAAATACACATGTATGACAACAGCAAGCGCTGTCTGCCGGCACTGCTGGCTGTGTCCTAAATAAGGCAAGTACAAGAGGGGTATTGATTTTCTCATTTATCCCTCAACAAGAAGGCAAACAAGAATGTTATGTATGGGGCAATTTCAAGGCCGGGCATGGTGACTGGCCTGGAAGGAAGGTCCTCTGGTTGCTAAGCAACCTCGGGCCATGACAAAAATTCAAGGTAGTCAATAACACGTCTTCTTCCCTGAGTTTTTTTTAAGTGCAACAAAGAGCGTTATGCTTTTTAGTCAGTTTTTTCAAACACTTTAACACGACTTGCCAGTAATATTTTAATCCATAAAGTCATTTCTTTTCATGCTTGTCTTTCTTACAATTACAAGAGAACTGAAGTCTCCCTGGACAGCTTGCCAGTGAAAGGCAGAGCATATGTAGATAAATAAACAAACAAATATTCTCAGCTAAATTACAAACTGTGGAAATTTAAAATCTGCGATTAACCAATACAAGTGACGTTCGGCGCCTGAAATCACAAACTTTTGCATATTTCCCCCGCCCCTGATTTCCGCGTCCGAGTCCTTTAAGCGTTTCGGCGAAACAGCAACGTGCTTCGCTTGACGGGAATGACGTCATCGCACGGACCCTCCCTTTCCGTCCTCTGATTGGCCGAACCGTGGGAATATCCGCGGAGGCAGCGTTGATTGATTGGCTCCGGGGGACGGAGCCGGTTTGGCCAGAGCGCCGGACTGGACTCATCAGTTCCCCTCAGCGACGTCTCTCAAAGCGGGGAAGCCAGCACTACAACACCGGCTCTTCCTCCGCGGGGCGACGGGGCTGTCTGGGACGAACAAACTGGGGCCGAGGGGTCGGCAAAAGAAAGGATTAAAATCGTCGCGGTGGCTACGTAAAGGAGTTCAATGGCATCGCGGAATCTGCGGGAAGGAAAACACTGGCACTTCCAACCAGCCAGCCGCGGAGAAGATAAACAAGCCGCATGAGGAGAAAACTCTGTAAGAAAACCTTTTATGGACGACATATTACACGTGCACTCACGCTACAATACGACGTGTATTACAGATCAAAAAACAGTCGTGTTCAATGCTTATTTATTAATTAATGACCGTAAATTAGAAGATGCACATACTGCATTGTAAAGTCATAAGCGAGGTTTTGCATCCTGCCTCTAAATGGGTCTCAGGCGGTGGGCAAAGTATGGTCCTGGGAGCCACAGACGGTCTGCTCTGTTCTTTAAATCTGGCCCGCTAAGCGTTTATGATCCAGATTTGGTGGATTCATTTACACTAAAATTGGTTGATGAAAATGTTTTCAAACCTTTTATTATTAACAGTAAAATATTTGAGAGAAAATATGTATACAACATATGTATTATTATTAGTTTATTCATTGTTATTATATTTCCATAAGTAGTTTGATTTATGAAAAAGAAAAGGTTCATCTTTTATATTTTTAAGTGATTTAAAAAAAATCTCATTCTATCATAGTATAGTAGGAATAGCATTTATAAACTAAACCATAGATTTGCAAATAAAAATGAAATTGATTCAATTGTAACATTGGCCTGATGCCAGCAATATACATTGATTATAATTAATTGGTTGATTTATTTTAAAGAAAATATACTAATTTACTTCACTATTTTACATTTGTGTATTTTATTGAATGCTTCTTTTATGTATGTATGTAAAAAGTAGTTTTAAAATGTACAATTTTACATGTTTGAATAATTGCTTCATTGATTTCCAATCATTTGTACTTCCAAGTACATGTAATATTTAATGAATAATTGACAGATGGAATTGAAAGAAATTTTACAAATTATATACATATACATTTATTTGTATTTAATTATCAAGTAAGTGGTTCATTGTAATTAAAACAAAGAGAAGGAATCATTAATTTATTGTTAAAATGTACAATGTTACATATTTCAAATGTTTTCCTTTTTTGTTTTTCTCTTAACTTTGTCTATGATGACAAGGACCATCTGTTTAGTAATCAAAACGTGGCCCTGTAGCTTGAAAGTTTACCCTTCCCTGGTCTTGCCTGTCAGCACTTCCAGTTTATACTGTGCATGTGTGTGCAATGGACGCTGCTTTTGTGCCCCCATTGAAAGGCGCCTCATGTGTCAGCAGCATCTCCGCGGATCCGGGAAGCACTTTGAAGTGTTTTTATCATGGCCCTATTCAGCACGGGGGCGCCCGCCCCACCCCATCCTCCCCACCCCCCTTCTCTCAAAGCGCCTTTCCGCGTCCATTGTGTGCAAGCCGGAGGTGGCGTGCTCGCACCTCGCCTGCTGCACAGGGTGGAAAGGTTGGCCTGGAGGCGCTCAAGAAAAAAACGTGTCTCTCTTTTTTTTTTCTTTTTTAAGATGATTACTGGCCAGGTGTGAAATCCTATCATGTTTATTGCCAGCAGAGGTAGGGTGTTTCACAGAGAACAGGAAAACTGCAGTTTAGTGGGATTACATTTTTACAGAAGCACTCAAGAGTTTCTCTTGGCTGGACACTTGTCTACTTAGGCTGTGCAAAGGCGCTCTTGGAATCGCCTTTCTTGGGAGGCCTCAAAAAGCCATAAAAGTCACCAAATGTAGGCATTTTAGGGAAAATGCACAGGAATAGAACCTTGAAAAAAAATATCACATTTAATCACAATATTCGAGGGGGAAAAAACGCAATCAGATTCTGTTTCAAAATCATTCAGCCCAAATGTAAAAGTGATGCCTTGAGATACAGTGCTTTGACTTAAGAGGATTGAGACATGAGCTGTCACATAACCTTTTTTTTTTGTCTTGAGATATGAGCAACATTTGAGATACCAATGCGCTTCATACATCCAATGCTAAATGGCAGCGGCCCACTCAACATTTGGCCACCTTCAGTTCACATTGGCTTCCTTTCAGTAGAACGACAACGATCTGTTGGCGACGGTAATGCGCATAATCGTGTTTTGTCCGTAACTTCGCAACACCAAGAATCCATGCCCGAAATTGACCAGAAAGTTGTCCATTTTGGTTGGAAGCAACCATTTTTGGCAAATTCCAGACCTTTGACAATCTCCTTCCCGAGCAAATGTGTGTCAAGTGGAAAGAGGTAGTCAGATAGGGTGAGATGGATTTCATTATTGAGTTAGAGAAGATGATGTAATAATTCTCTTTTTGGGGACGCAGCGCAAGCTTGAAATGTGCATTGTCCATTGAATTGGTGAAATATGGAGTGTCTATGTCTTACGGGGGAGTGCAGCGGACGTGAAGGGGGTGGCGCCTTCCCTCTTGATCGCCCTTCACAGCCTGGCAAGGCTGGTTTAGCGCTGTACGCCCCTGTGTGATCACCTTTTAGCTGCCATGTGTAATTAGAGGGCGGCTGCCATCTTTTGAAATGTGTCTAATTAGTCTTTTCTTTCCAGGGGCAGGGAAAGAGGGGTTAAGGGTGGGAGGTTAAGGAGCAGGAGAGGCCCCCGCGGGTCACCGGGAGAGGAGGGGGGGGGGTGCAGTACTGCCAGGCTTATTTCGCGTTGGGCTTATCTTTGTTTTGGCTTGCGTGCCGGTGCCCCCGCCATTACTTCAAATTAATAATGCAGGCTGTCAAATTACAAGTGAAGGCATCACTATTCGCCACTCACTGAAGGAACCCCCACCCCCCCGCTTGGTTCGCAGGGCGGGTCAGTGACCCAATTCCCCCCCAGCCTCTCTGGAACGTTCTATGAGGTTATCATAAGGTTATCGCCCACAGGGAGCATTACATGCATGGGCTGCTCGGATTTTAATGATTTGAGGGAATCGTTGACCTTTCACAGAGAAGCAGTAAACTGGAAGCGGCCTGAGGACAGACTAAGACACATTTATTATTATTGTTGCCATGACTGGGAGTTATGGCCTTAAAATTAAATCAGGTTGTTTTTTTTTCTTTCACAAAAATACGTGCCCCCCCCCATAACAAATGACAATGACAAGTTTTGATTCTTGTTTCACCCCATTCTAAGATTTGCATTACTGCTTTTCTAAAACACCATTGGCACGCTAACAGTTAGCATCGCTTATCGTGGTTTTAAGGAGATGTATATTGAAACACAAATGGTGGCACAAATACATGTACACCGGAAGTGCCCAAACTTTTTTGGCCCAAGATCTACTAGTCAAGCAGCCAACCTCCTACAATCGTCCAGTACAACACACCCGTACGCGCATTCGCACGGCATGATGAGTAAGAGACCCTAACCTTAACGAAACAGAAAAATAAACCAGATGCAAAGCAGGTAGATTTCCGAGTTTCTAAGAAAATAATTGGCTCCTTTAATGCGAGACGTGACACAGGGAGGCAGGGCCGCACTTTTGCAGCACGTCAAGCGCGGAACCATCACGTGTCCCGTTTTAGAATGCCGCTCCCTTCCTTTGCCAGTGCAATTGGTACATCGCAGATCAAACAAATGAGCTTTGAATGAGAATAAATACCCAAAAAAGGAATATGTCTCAACGGCTTGATCAAATGTTGAGATCTTATCTGTCGAAGTTTTTCACCATCTGTTAGTGTTTTGAAGTCAAGGCTTTTTGCAAAGATTGGACCGCGTAGCCGTCGTCCTTCGGCAGCGAGCGCACCGGGATGAGGATAAGATAAGACCCCTTGCTGTGCACTGCTTTTACCTTGGGCTTGGTGTGATTGCCCAGGACAAAAAAAAAAAAACAGTTAATGGCTCAATTTTTGGGGGTGAAGGGGGGGGGGGGATAATTACATGTGCACACGGCGTCCATTTATCACAAGCCCATCCCCACAAAAATTAAATGTTGTGGTCCAAGAATGCAAACTCTTGACTTGATTTGACAATTTTTTTCTTTTTTAATGCCAGACAAATCTTGTCTGTGTCTGGCTGAAAGAAAAGTTACGACAACTTTTATATACTGGCAGTCAGAAATAGGAACTGAGGCATGGGCTGCCTTTATGGAAACATTACATTAGTGCATTAAAAAAAAAAATTTTAAAAAAACTCGGGTCACTTCTATCTTAAGGTACTGCTATACTTGCTACTAGCTAAACAAAAGTATGCACTAGTTGACATCTTGGCTCTAATAGTACCCCTTTTAAAATTCTAAAATTATACTTGCTCACATTTAGAACTTTGTAGTGAAGACGCTTGGTATTCAACTACCAACCCAGGCTAAACTTAGCCCATCCCCGACATATAGAGCTTGTCTCTCTCTCGAGATGCATCAGTTTCACTATCACTAGTGTGCTACTTTCCTGTATAGACACAGAGTTTTGGTGGCATCATACACCATTTCTGAAAGCGCACAAAATGCAACAAGGCCATTTTTGGGTGGCAAATGGATCATGGATTTAATGTCGCATTTCACTTTACAGTTGAACACTGGTACTGTACGCTGCAATGATTCTCGCGATTCATTTGCATAGTTTGTCAGTGGAGCCGCAATGTAGACCAGTTGCCCAAAAAAAAAAAAAAGAAAAAAAGTCCATTGTGGCGCTTCATGTAAGACACATCATCTTATTGTGTCTTCACTTTGGCTTTTAGCGGCAGCTCGGAGAAAAATAATAATGTTTTTCCAGCTCGGGCTCAGCATGATTTACATGCCACCGAATGCTCCGGTACATCTGTCCTCCTGTTGGCCGAGGCGTTTGTTTTACATACGTTGGATGGGATATGATGAGCCTTGGGGTTGAGAGCAGGTTGTTTGATTATCCTCATGGCAAACCTTAATGTGACTTAAAAAATATCTTCTGCAGAAAAAGAAAAGGGAGAAATCGGCGGCTCTTCTCAGGCGCGCTGATAGCAATTATGCAAACTATTATAGAATTTAAGCAGGCCGGCTCTTATCGGCTAATCCAGAAGTAATAGATTCTATTAAAAATGTATGAAGGGTATAAGGGGGCGGGAGGGGTGGGGGGCGAATCCGGCAGCTGCACTGCCGTCTATTTCAGTCAGTGTGTGTCAAACTACTTGTCTGCTGCCTCCCATTATGAAGACAGCATCCTGCAGCGTTTCCAGACATAATAAGGAATTCATTACACAATAAGAAGCTTGTTATTCATCGATTGCGACGCCATCACTCATTGTTAGTCATTGACTTACAACTACATGAGCTGTTTTGTGTCTGCCTTATATGAGAATCTAAATTTGAAATGCGATTAAAGTGTTCTGGGATCAAAGTAGGGTGTGTATATGGTTTCAACTAGGGCCTGACCGATCTAAATTTTTCTTTGTGTGATGCCGATATTTGGCAGAATAAAATTGGCTGATTCATTTTAAAACACTGTATACAATGAATACAATAACTTCTTTTATGGTCGCTTAACACTTGGCCATTTTAAAAGGCTAGCTATCCATTAGCCGATTGATTGGTTGGGGCCCTAGTTTAATAAAGGTAATTATAAAGCTTTTTTGGGGGGGTGGGGTCAATTACAATTGACTGGTGACCAGTCCAGGGTGTACCCTATTTCTTTCACCAAAAGTTACTTTGGGTTCACTAAAAACTCAACACTGTCTTTCGGTGTGACTGTATTGTAAAGGTGAAGGGTTATTTGTAAACTTTGTGTATGAACGCTGCGATTGGCTGGAGACCAGTCAAGGGTCAACCTTGCTTCTCTCACTAAAAGTCAGCTCAGGTTAATTATAGACTCTAAATTGCCCAGGTGTGAATGTTAGCGCACTAGTGACCAGTAAGTGACTGAGCAGGACGAGAAAATGGCTTTATGGACTGCACGTTGGATCCTTTTTACTATTAACAACTTCTTTTTACACTTGAGAAAAAAATAGATAAAATATGACATGATAGTAAAGAATGTACCATTCATGAGCACAATAAGAATAATGTTATTCATCCACTATGTTAATCTAAATTGACCTATTTTTTGTGTCCATTTCTTGTTTTGTTTTGTTTTTTGGGGGTCGGGGGGGGGGGGGTAGTAGAAATTAGCATGGCACTCTTATGCTAATCGAGCCAGTGAGTGAAAAGCCTTATCTCACCTCCTATTTTTCACCCTTCCCATCAAATCATTAACCGAGCTTCCGGAGTGAGCGTGGCACACATCCCGGATTAGTAATTAGCTGCCATATTCGGCGTGACTCCTGCAGGGTCGCCGGGGGCCACAGGTGAGCCAGTGGGGTCAGACAGGTGCACTGCTTCCTGCATAATTTAACAGAGCTCTTTTGACCCCCAAGGCCCACCCCAAACCCTCAACTTAGACTTATGACGCCTCATGCTGTGCTACGATGCCGCTACATTTCCTCGGTCATAATAAGGATGAGCCTTGGGCAAGAGTTCTTTTTTTTTTTTTTTTTTTTTTTGAAAGAGGCTGACACTACTAGTTAGCATAGTGGCATAAAATTGACTTGTATCATACACTGCATTTAATGACAAGATTTTCTGTTTGCACTCGAAGCGACATGGCTGTTAAGAAGGTCCATTGTGTGCGGTTTCACAATAAAGGACGTTCGTTGCCATCCACTGCCTCATTATTGCCAGGGCACACGCTGCGGATTGCGGAACGCGCCAACCCTGGCGACGGTCCGTGCTCGAGTGCTATTTTGGTTATCTCAGCAAAAAGCAATGAGATTGTCAGCAGCTTTTTTTTACTGCCAGTTTGACGACACATTAATAACCGCCCGTTATATTTTTTTGTCACGAAAACTTAAGTTACCATTTAAAGCTTAATACAGCCGCTTTTAAAAGCGGCCCATGACTGCTTGCCTCCTGACCTTGCTATCGTCCCACAAAGTGCCATCTCATAATCAGTGCGGGGAAAAGATAGGGGAAAAAAAAAAATCCAAATGACTGCCAAAGCGTCCTTATCGGAAACACCGTAGGGTACAGCAGATGGACGGCAAAGCACACGGTCTTTATCGCCCCTGGTGAGCCTTCTACGGGCCTCATTGTGCCGCTTATCCCCTCAACGGATGTCACTGGAGACAGATAAAGATTAGTCGCCCGTGCACCTTAAACTTTCTGGGGCTTTTCCTCCTGATGCATGACAGAAGAAAGAAAGCCTTGCGCTGAACTCAAGAGACCTCACGTATGTGGTGGAGGATTGTCGTTTTTCTAAAACAAATACAACTTTGTTTTTTGTAATACTGTATTGGACTATTTTTGTATGATGATGATTTTTTTTTTCCCACCCGCGGCTTCACGATTTTTTTTCTGAAGCGGGGCTAAAGGAGGGTGGGGGGGTGCATGACCAATAAATTAGGGGAGCTGAGAAAAATAATTTATACCTATATTTCACAATATCAAGTAAAAAGCTGCAGTGGCTTAACTGGGGCTACACAAATTTGTGACAGTGCTATAGCACCCCCTAAATAAAACTACTGAAATGATGGATTAAAATATGTCACACATAAAATAAAGTTCAAAAGTGAACTTCAGGAAAAGGTACAATATGCTCAACTCGGGAGACCTCGCAAATGTGGCGTCGGTGAGGGTTGGGGGGG